GGCCCAGCATTTCCAGCTGTCCACAGCGCAAGTCCCCTATCCCCATTCCCCTCACACACTCCCCGCTGAACTGTGTTCAATCCCAGCGCAACTATTTTGCTCCCCCGAACCGAACGCAAGGGATAGGGTTGTTTGCGCCTCTCCGTGCATGGCAATGGGCATCTGCTCTCCCCTACAGTACTCTCCTCCGCTGCGCCCTGTGGTGCAACAACGTTTCGTTTTACGATGGCGCAAAAGAATTTCTGCATGCGACGAAATGCCACAAATATATTCGCCAATCTCCAGCCAATCCGTGCTCAAACGTGACTAGCCGAAACCGAACGAAACCTCCCCCTGACGCCCTTCTCTTTTGCCGTCAGGGCTAAAACGCAGACAGAAAACGCGACGAGAAATAGTAGCACCATAGCTGACTGAGTGATCACAAGGCAACCACCACCACCTCCAAATTTCCAGCATATTTCTGATGTCCTCCCTAAACTGGAAACTCCAGCCAGCTTAGAAATATTTGTTTCAGCAGCAGGGATTAGCTCGACTTACTGATTGCTGGTTATTTCTCGGCGGTTTGCTAAGGAAGTTGTGGAGTCTGCGCGCTTGCACCCCGTATGAAATCAACTCGAGGCGCAGGCCAGCGCCTGTGTCAACTGGCAAGATTTATCTTCCACTTCCCGGTCGTTTCAACACGCAGCAAGCATCATGTATGCGCACGTGGGTTAAGCTACCATATGTGTCGTCACACGCGATATTCGCGTCGCCTTTGGTGGAAATGAAAGTAGACCTTTGCATTCGCTAATCTCTTCGAAGCTTTCCGGTTCGTTGCGCGTTCTCCACCTGTTTCCTAGCTGCTGGTGCGTCTAATCTCTTTAATGGCGTGAGCTTCTGCAATTCAGATGCATCTTGTTTCAGTTCTCCTAAAGACAGCCCGGAGTGTTGGCGGAATTTGTGTCGTGATTAAAGTAAAGCTCGTTGTTCGGTAAAGATATATCAGAAAACATTCCCGTCCCTACGTTTCTTATGGCAGAGATCGTGACTGATGGAGGTCCATTTGCAAAACCAAGACGCTGACGCGGATCCTTGTAAACAGCAACTTATGTTCGAGCTCGCTTTATTGGATGGACTCGAAGTTTATCCTGCACATCTCCTTTTGGGAGTTCACCGCCATTTTATGCTCTTCGCGTTAACTGACCACGTCAGCAGGAGGTTGGGACAAGAATTGTCCGGAAACAGAATAATTGAGCACCTGGAGAGTTCGTTCAACATGGAGGGACTGAGAAATCGGCTGATCGGGGAAGAAGAGGCATGGCTGCAATCTCTAAGCGAAGAGAGTTTTTCCTTATCAAGTTCTCTTGGATCCCAAGAGCAGTCTGATGGTTGACAAATACCCATATCCCATGAAGCGTTTTTGGGTGAATGTACGTTTTGCATAATCCAGATTGTGGGTCTAGGTTCCTAGCCGTTGCCAGTTTAGACGTACGTTTTGTGCAGTCTTCATGTAATATAGGGTACCACACAAATGTTCTGCACCATGGTAGTTATCTTGCCATGCAGGTGATGACTCCAAGATGATGCTTTCAAGCAGGCACTCAGATTGGTTTTGGACAGAGCTATAGGTTAGGAAAACTTATCGGGCAAGCCTTGATGTATATATTTAAATAGATATTTTTTATCGGATCATGTGAAATGGACGATGTGTAGTACAGTTCACCGAGAACTTCCAAGATCTTGGTGGTGAACATAACGAGCAACTTTTTACCTGTGTTGGTTTCCTCGAATTTACAGCGCACTCTGTACGGATGGCCCGCCTCTTGCCTTTCCGACCACCGCCTGGTTACAATTTGAGAGCTGCCCCGACCGTTTAAGAAATAGCGGTATATTGGCCTTGTTCGGCAGCAGTTTGGCCTCCAAGCACTTCTGACCAACAACTCAACTAATCTGAACGACAAAATAGCTTCGGCCCGAGCCTCAACAGAATACAAACAAAAAACGTGGGTTACTGTACCGTGTTGACATCTGTAAAAAAGGACACGCAAACGTGTACGATGTCACGCGTCTTGTACATAACCGACAACGACCAGGACTGGAGAAAAGGAAGCCCAACAACCCCAAGAACCAAACCCGTTCTTCGTGGAACCACGGAGCGAAATTCCCAGAAGGTGCGTAATAATCCGAACGGTTTCCCCCGCATGCTCTGCAGAGAACCAAAAAAAATGGGAAGGACCACTAAAAAAACACAATCAGGCTTGGTTGGGACGGGGTACCTCAGGCAGGTTGCAACGGGCGAGGGGACTTTATTTTAATTATGCAAGCCTAAGTTTACCCGCTTTTTGGGCAGTTGGAGGTTGGGGGACCAGTACTCTAGCCAGTGGACGGTCTGTTGAGTAATCCCAATGAACAAACTTCCATTCACCCCACCTCGAGAGCAGGATCAGCACTGGGCCGTAGTTCAACTAGCAATGAGCTTCTTTTTGCCCGTGTTTTACTGTGCTGTTCTGGTTGGTTGGCACTGTTGGTCTGTCATGGAACCATCTACAAACCTGAAACCAAAGCGAAACTGGTTAGGAAAGAAGTTCGGCAATCCGACGAATCGTAGGGGGTTTTTACACGTCACCTTGAGTCAGCAGGAGTGCCGAACCTGGAGATCTGCTTGGTTAGTTCGATTTCTGGCTGGTTGTTGTTTGGTTGTGGCCTCTAACTTGTGCAGCCGAACAAGGCCTTGTAAAGAACTGTACTTAGTGTTTGAAGTGAAATGGGTACATATCATCAACGGTATTTCTGTACCCTCTCCACACCGACGTGCTGCCCAATTTCCGTTCAACATGTTCAGATCCGACTCTGTTAGGGCGTGGGCCCAAACGGGTTTGATCGTGACTGATCTGATCGGGTTGGATCTGATCGGGTTGCTTGTGATCGTAGAGCCCGAGCCGACCGATCAAAAATGATTTTCGGAGAAGGCTGTCAGCGCCTGCTCAGCAAGCGCGATACATTTGCGTGGCATTTTCGTCACCATTTTAGCGAGATTGACGACCAGGCTTCACCTGGCGAAAATATCCGTTTCACTGTAAATGCAACATTGTAACTACTCGCAAGCATCGCTAGGTGCCCCGATCACAAGCAATCAATTGATTGCCTGTGATCGAGGAAAATCGGCTCGGATCGGGGTTAAAATCGGGTCTGATCGAGGTTGGGCGATCAGCTGATCGCGATCAGCTGATTGCCCCTGATTGCCTGAATTTGGCTTCCAGGCTTCCTGGAAACTATTGATCGTTTCTGATCGAGGCGATCGAACCCGTTTGGGCCCACGCCCTTACTGTTACACATGGCAAACACGACGAAACGTAGGGCCGCTTGCATGAAAAAGAATTGAGGGGTGAAGGAATCGTGCGAAACAGAACGACAGATGGGACTTGGCAGCATTGGATTTTCGCAGTTCAAGCTTGGCATTTTCAGTAATGTGGACGAGACAGGAGGGAAGTGTGTGGTGGTCGGTGTGACTTTGCACGTCCTTGGGGATTGACTGAGCAGAGCAGCTTACGGGCAAGTTTCTGACTGCCCCGACGGTCGCAACATTTTCGTTCGCACAATCTTTAGCCGAGCCAACCTATGTAGATTAAAATAGACCGCTTTAAGACGCAATAAACCTCGACGTGCCGGATCCAAACGAGCTTCTGGGGCTCCGTCATTTGTTCTACAATCCACTTCAGAGTTCACACGAGTCCAGGATCACGAAGTCTGTGCACGCACCAGAAATTTCGTTCAGCCCAGACCTCCTCTGGAATGGTCCAGGTGCTGCCAAGCATTTCTTCTTGCTGCTGTAGGTGATCAAACCAACCAAAGCCTGCGTGGTGCACTTGTGTACAGTTACACCCCATCAGCGTGCCTGTCGTCCTCTCCGTCGTTCGATTTGTCGCTTGTTCTTGCCACCACCCCACCCCACCCACCTACCAACCACGTCAGCCCTGAAGACCCGAGCAGTGGCATCCCCCATCCGCATCAGCTCTCCCGCGCGAGATCTGCATACAGTTCAGTACACCTAGCCCTCGCCAATTTCACGCCCTGGAACAAGTTTAGGAAAGCATCCTGAACCCAATGTTGGCTTGACCGATGAACTCCCCGAATTTGAAGACTATCAACAACTCAGACAAGTGTCGAGGTTTAAATAAAACGCCCGCGCTTATGCCGGAGCAAATCGACCATAGTTTTATTGTGACCCGTTTTTTGTCACCTCTAACTCGTCTGAGACGTCTGAAACGCACCCTCTTGAAAACGAAAGCATTCGGAACAACCCTTCAATATCGGGTAATTCAATAATAATTACACAGGGGTTAAAATTGGCCATAGTGAAGTTGGCGCGGGCTAGGTGTATTCTTCCTCCCTAACCACACCGAGCTTCTCCACCCAAACTCGGCCTCTTGGGTTTGGTTGGGTTTGGTTTGGCAGGGTCCCCTGCCCTGCCCAGACCAGACCCCTGCCCCACCATACCACACTGCACTACTTTCAGGTCACTCCCCCCCGCCCCCACAACTTCGTGTTTAGTTTGGTACACTACAGAGCTGCACTGCGCATTCTGTGTTCTGGGCAGCAGGAAGGAGTGCAAAGCCGCGAAAAAAAGCGTTTCGCACAGTGCTTCGTTTCGTTACTTCCACCGTCCTCCCACACCAACGGCATTTTCCGTTTCCCACATGTTCTTCTGCTCAAGGTCGTCACCCCTCTTGAGCTTCTTGCCATTTCTCCCAACCAACGTTCCCATCAGCACAGCACAGCACAGCCTATTTCCAGACGCAGCGCCTCGGAGATCCAGCTCACAACATTCAAGTTTAGGAGAGGGCGACTAGGCTCTATCTGGTTCGCCAAAACCAAGCGGAGCTCCGTGTTTACCTCGGTATTAGGAACCCTAGTCTTGTATTTCTCGCAGAGCCAATATATAGCTGTGTCTTGAAATACCTCCTTTCGAGTTATTAGCGTTTTCGAAATAAGAGTGTTGAGTAGTCTTCGCTTGTTTCTCGATGACTAGCACGGACCACCACCCAGTGGCGGCGCCCCTCCGTCCGCCCCACAGGACGTCCTACTCGGCCGGGAAGTCCGTTACGAACGCGCTTTTTGGTAACCATGCTGACGATGATTCGCCCGGAACCCTGCCCAGCGTGTACGCGGCGCGTCGAACTCTTTCGCAAGACACGTCCGCGTCGCTGCTTTGCTCTGTAGATGCCGCGGCAGTAAAGCAGTATGAGAACGTGGAGCGAGCCTCAGTTCCCGCAGTTCCGGCCAAGACTGTGAATCTCTCCGCGACCGACTTGCTGCTGCTCCTCAGCCCGAGTGTCGCCAATAACGCGAACCTCCACGCATCCACGAACAATCCGTACGGTTGTCGCGAGTGCCCCGGGAAGTTCCCCTCGTTAAACGCACTCAATGAGCATTTTCAGGAAGAGCATCAGAAGGAGACCCACCTTTCTAATTCCAACTCCCCTCTTATCCATGGCGCCGGAGCGCTAACGCCTCCTAGCGGGATCTCAGAGCGTCTGGATTCGGGATCCCCGGTAATAGAGTCTTCGGTATCGAACAGTGGGCGCCCGAAACGCGGCACCGGACGGCGCGTTCTTAGCGGTCCGCTCGAGGCGCCTCGACGGCGCACGGGACGGCGCGTCGTGAGTGGGCCGCTGGAGCCGCGGAGAGTCACCGCGCGGAAAACCAGCGGTCAAGCGAGCCCGATGAGTCAAACAAGTCAAGGCACGGGGGAAGCCGAGGCGTCGCCGCCCGCGGACTGGTCTTGCGGAACGCCGAACGGACGGAAGCGCACGCGGATTCCGTCGGAGCCGATTCAGGAGTCCGCGATGAGCGGCGAGAGCTCCGAGACGAAAGAAACCGAATGCTTCGCTGGTCCCGCGTCCTCCGCGGGTGGCGCCTCGCAAGATCTAAGCTCGTCTTCCGCCGCTGCGACTGCTGCGACCGCTAGCAACAGGCGGCAAGCGAAGGGGACCGCCGCCGCAGCCTCTTCTACCACCCCCGAGCGTTCTCCCCCTTCCGCCTTAGCGAAGGATGCGCCGCACGTTGCGCGAGGCAGCAATTCGGATCAGCAGCAGCTCGTGACTCTCTTTCAAGCGCTTACGCCGGGTGCGGAGGCTCCGCGCGGAGAGCTCGGCGGAGGAGCGGCGGGCGCGCGGCAGACAACGACGGCGGCGGCGGCGGCGGCGACGCAGCCGGGTTCAGGCGCGGCCAGCAGGAATATCTCCGTTCCCCCGCGTCACCCGCCGCCGCACTCGGGTCGAAAGAACGCGGGTGGCGCGGATCGGAGCGGGGCTGGCGGAACGATAGCAGCTGCAGCGACGGGTAGCACGCTGGGCGGCGCGAGTCCCGGGAACTCGGGTGGATCTGGCTTGGGAGGGAGTGGCGCCGCGGATGCAATCGCGCGAAGGCGTCCCGGTGAAGAGGGCTTGGCGTTGACGGAAAGACGCGCGGCACCTGAGGTCCCTGCGGAAGTACCCTCGGAAGCGCTAGCTGCGGCCGTTATTGCCGCGATCGTGCCCGCAGAAGGTGAGCAAGGCGGGTGCTGAGTCTTTGTGGCATGTTTGCACGGGTGTTTTCGTCCACAGGCCCGTTTGGGGTTTGCAAGTTGGCACGAATAGCCACTCTCGTTTTCTCCGGTGGCGAAATAACTGTTGTTATTTTCCATTTCTTTGTTTTCGTTTTGTGTGTGTGCTTTTTTTCTTCCTACAGGTGTTTTGCCCAAGAGAACTATTGCTTCTGGAACTTCAGGTGGAGCACGCAACTCTCTAGGCGCGTGGTGGAGGTCCGGGTCTCGCGGCTCGGGAGGGACTGCGCGGTCAGCCGAACTCAACCAAAATCTCGGTACTTTTGCAGCTCAAGGAGTTCCAGGCTCCATGTCCGGAGCAGGCTCGGCGGACCGGTTTGGGGCTGGGCAGCAAGACGTTCTCATGGGGGAGGGCGGTGCGGGGTTAGGAAATCTCTTGGTTCAGGGTGCGCCGGGTGCTGCCAAGGCTGCTCGGGTTTGTAACACCAATCAGGCCAGTTACACTCCAGCAGGTGACATATTAGGCAGTAACGTCAAAAATATTGATGATGTTAAGCATACAACAAGCGTTGCTGGTAACATTGCAATGGCGGCGGTTTTGCGTCCGAGTCAGACTGCTTCTTCGCCTACCCACCATCTATTCCACAGGCGATCAGCGTCATCGTCAGCGGTTCCGGCAGGTGAAATGGGTCGGGCAGACTTGAATGTTGCAGAACCGGCCGCACCTGCCGGAAGCAGCAGGAAGGGCAGCCCGACAAAATCTTCGGGAAATGCTGGGTTTGGGCAGCTGCGGGCGCTAGCGTCTCTGCTGAAGCAACAGCTGCCACTGCTGCAGAAGCAGCAGCAGCAGCAGCAGCAGCAGCAGCAGCTGAGCCAGTTGGAGCAGCAGCAGCATTTGCAGCAATCTCCGCACCAGCTGCAGCCACCGCAAGAGCAGCAGCAGCCGTTGACGACGCAGGGGGATCGGCAGGTGCCTGCGCGCCGCTCAGATGTGTTTCAAGTGCAGAAGCTACCCGACGGCCTCCGTGCCCTCTTTCGATCGTCCTCTACCTCCGGTGCTCCATCCCCTAAGTTTCCAACAGCGGCAGCAGCAGCAGCAGCAGCATCAACAGCAGCAACAGCAGGTGCTTATGCAGCAGCAGCAACAGCAGCAGGTGCAGATGCAGCAGGTACAACAGGTGCAGCAGGTCCCACAGCACCAAGTGCAGCAGGTGCAGCAGCAGCAGGTGCAGCAGCAATCACCAGCTCCCAGGAGCCCTGTGGCAAGGCCAGCAGCACAGCAGCAACACGAGCTGCTGTTGCAGCAGCACCAGCAGCTGCAACAGGAACAAGTTCTTTTGCAGCTGCAGCAATATTTGCAGCAGCAACAGCAACAGCAACAGCAACAGCAGCAGCAGCAGCGGCAGCAACAGCAACAGCAGCAACAGCAACAGCAGCAACAACAGCAACAGCAGCAGCAGCAGCAGCAGCAGCAGCAGCAGCAGCAGCAGCAGCAGCAGCAGCAGCAGCAGCAGCAGCAGCAGCAGCAGCAGCAGCAGCAGCAGCAGCAGCAGCAGCAGCAGCAGCAGCAGCAGCAGCAGCAGCAGCAGCAGCATCTGCACCAGCAGCACTTTCAGCAACATTCACAGCAGCAGGAAGCGGGGCAGTTGCTGCAGCAGAATTTCATTCAAGCACCGGTCTCCGCATTGGCGCCGCCTTCTGCGTTCAATGCTCCACAGAGTGGTTTCCAGCACCATTCTCTCAGCCGTTCACCTGCAATGCGAGAGGGGGTGTCAGCAGTAGGTGGGGGATCAGTCGCCGGGGCAGGTACAAGTGCATTTGCTGGTACAGGTGGAAGTGTGTTCGCTAATCCAGGTGCAAGTGCATTTGTGAATACAGGTGCTAATGCATTCGGTAATGCAGGTAATAATGCATATGCTTATCCAAGTGCAAATGCATTTGCTAATGCAGGCGGTACTGCATTTGCCAATGCAGGTGCAAGTAATTTCGCAAGCACTGGTGCAGGTGCAGTTTCTAACATAGGTGCAAGTGCTTTCACTAATATAGATGCAGGTGCATTCACTAATATAGATGCAGGTGCAGGTGTGAGTGCAGGTGCAGGCAGGGAGGGGATGAGTGGATGTTTGAGGGAAGATGGGAAGCTGCTTAGCCTTGGGCTGCCTGAAGCACTGGTCAAGAAAGAGCCATCGGCAGCACCTGCTGACACAAAAATGATGGATCTTGAGCTGAGATTGTGAAGGAGTGTGCTCGATTCACTTATCCGCTCCTAATATTTATGACGTTATGTTGACAGCTACGTGCGATCGGTTTTGTCAAAGTAGACGTTTTTCTCTTGTTGCTTGATATAGGGGCCCCTGAACCAGATTAGATGTACAGTGGTAGGTAAGAGTGGAGAGTATTAGCTGCATTCTGTAAACCTTTTTTGTTGTTCCGTCACTGTATTGTCGAGTGGCACTCTGCATTATGCGATAGTTCTTTATTGTGCAGTGCTTGTCACGGAGCCGATGTAGTGTATTTTCCGTCATGCTTCACATACGCCCGCCCAACTAAATTCGGCCCAAATTCGCCCCCTTCCAGTCTTCTTTCTATTTGCTCACCACACAAAATCACCGAAGCACCATATCAAATCCTGATGCTCAGGTATCAATGGTTTTAGGACAGCTACTAAAAGGGGCCTTCCGCGGGGTAATAACGGAGGTAGCCCGGCAAACAACCGTTATCCAGAAGCTCTCTGTCGCGTCACGTCTCTCTCTCGTGCTATTCGCTGAGCTTGCCGGCGTCGTTTCGACTGTCCCGTGCGGCGCTTTCGCGCTCCTCTTGTACTCCTTCCTGCTCCTCGCTTCCCGCTCCCGCGTTTTCCTCCGCCGTTTCTGCCGAATATGGCGCCGCATTTCCCGTCGAGTGGTTCCTCGTCGATGCAGAAGCATCATTGTCGCGACGGTCGCGCGGATCGCGGCGGGGTTGAAGCGTCTCAGCCGGTTCGTGAACTCCCGCGGCGTGTTTTGGCGGCGGCTGATCCCCGAAATGTCGTCCTTTCGTTCTCTTCTCCGATTGGCTCGAGTTCACGTGGTTGCTGACGTCAGATACGGCCATCGGCCGCGCAATGTGTGAGCGACTGAAATCAGGCAGCACTAGTCGGATGCGCGACGCGTCGCGTTGTGAAATTCTTCCCGTTTTTGGGTCGTTCGTTGTCGGGTGTTTTTTTATAGCTGTAAACATTCCACGTGTGCTGACGTGACAATCCGCCCGGCCCCAGGAAGGAGCGTTTTCTGTTGACTGAAAAGGTATCGCCTGGTGCTGAAAGCCTTATTCATAGTGCGGTCTGCTTTTTAGCACTCCAGACGGCAAAACCCCCTTCTCCCTCCCCCACCCGCAGGCCCCCTCCCCCAGCCCCACGCCCCCACTCCCGCCCTCCCCCCCCCCCCCCCCCCCCCCCCCCCCCCCCCCCGCGCCTGCTTCAACCCCATTTATTCTCCCTGTCATTTGAATCTGCCCCATTTCTCCATTCAGAATGGACATTTATCTGCCCAGTTTTCGCCAACGCCGCAATCACCATCACCATCATCACCACGACCACCATCCCTATCACAGCTACTCCGCTGCCACCATAAGCAAAAACAACAGTATTAGCGGCAGCGGCAGCATTACCACCAGCAGCACCAGCAGAACCAGCGGTGGCAATGGGTGCAGGGTGGTGGTGTTTGTGCATGGGGGTTGTTGGGTGAGTGGTGATAAGTGGCTGTATGCTCCCCTTGCTGCCAGATGCGCTGCTGAAGGGGCAATTGCGGTTGTTATTCAATACACCCTCTACCCCGAGGTAAGTTATGGATTTGCAACTCTCATGGGACATTTTCCGATTACACCAATTTCAGGGCCAATCATATATGTATATAAAGAATAGGTATAAATGTGATATATCTTACTTATTTTGTCATTCCAATTCCGCCAGCTCTTGGCAGCGGGGCAGCAGGAGGAGGCAAGTGCGGCCCTCTCATGGGTGTTTGACAACATCCATGCCTATGGTGGCGACCCTGATCGTGTCTTCCTGTGCGGCCACTCCTCTGGTGCGCCTCCTATGTTCTCTCTTCATATGTAATTCTGTTCTTCCGCGCCCTCTCATGGGTCTATGACAACATCCATGCTTATAGCGGTGACTCCGCTCGTGTCTTCCTGTGCGGCCACTCCTCTGGTGCGCCTCTTGTGCTTTCCTTCATCTGTCGTACTGTGTTTTGTAGCGCTCTCTCATGGGTGTGTGATAACATCCATGCCTATGGTGGCGACCCCACACCACACACGTCTTCCAGTGCGGCCACTCCTCTGGTGCACCTCTTGTGTTTTCCACTCATCTCTGATTCTGTTCTTCCGCGCCCTCTCATGGGTGTATGACAACATCCATGCTTATAATGGTCACCCCGCTCGTGTCTTCCTGTGCGGCCACTCCTCTGGTGCGCCTCTTGTGCTTTCCTCTTTGACCCCAATTGACCCCCATTGATCATATTTGGCTCCAGTTAATCCCCCTTGACCCCCATTGACTCGTATTGACTTCTGTTGACAGGGTCGCACACAGTTGCCATGCTGATGTGGCGCCGCTTTAAGGAAGGCCTGCGGCGGGCAGCAGGGGCAGCAGGCAGGGCGGGGGGAGGTGAGGGGGGAGGGAGGCAAGGAGAGGGCAGGACGGTGGGAGGTGAGAAGGGGGTCGGCAGTGGTAATAGAGAGGATGAGAGGGATGCGGCTTATTCACACCATCAGTATCATCAGCTGCAGCAGCAACAGCAACAACAGCAGCAGCCTGAAGGGTACAGTGCAGCAATGGACACCCGTCAGCCGTACTGTGTGATAGCACTGAGTGGCATCTTTGACCTTCACTACATGCACACATATACAGTCACCACTGGCACAGCCCCTCTCACCTGCTTTGCCGAAGCTGTCGGAGGCCCAGCAGCCTTTGCCCAAGGCTCCCCTCCGAACCTGTTTTCAGCCCTGGCCGAAGCTGTGGCAGCAGCAGGTTCGGAAACTCATGTAGCTCCTATGGGAGGGAATGAGAGCATGGAAAAGTCGACGAGCGTAGACGCAACTTCCTCTGATACACCCTTGTCTCTTTTCTTCTCCGAATTCGGGCAGCAGACTGGCAAAGATATAATATCCTGCATCTTGGAAGGGAGTATCAAACCTGCTGATTTCCTCCCCCCCATGCTGCTCCAGTGCAGTCCAGGAGATGCATATGCCCCCCCTCACTGTAGCCTCGCACTAGAGCAAGCACTGAGGCTTTTGGGAGGTCGTGCAAAGGTTGCGGTTTACTCGTCAGTGCATCATGCGCAGTTTGCGTGCCTCTGGAAGCCTTGGCCCCAGCCTAGAGGTTCGGCCGAGGCTGAGGCTTGGGAGCAAATCAGCCGGGTTTGGTATGGTGGTGGGTTACAAAGGGGTGATGCGTGGTTTGGGGGTGAATGGCTGGATTGGTTTTGTAGGTGTTGGGGGTTGGGTGAAGCTGAGAAGGCCAATCAAGACTTGTTGGATGTGGTGGCAGGACGGGTGTTGCTGGACAATATACTGCAGGGCTCAATGTAGCTGCCAACCCTACATGCTGTTTATGTATTGAATTATTCTGATAATATGTAAATGATCGAATTTGTAGGTTGGGTGCATTCGCTCTTTTTTCCGTGCGCACTGTGCATGCCCATTTTCCGCGTGAAGATGCTTGTGCACGCGGAAACGACAACGACATGGAACAAGACCGTAGTCCCGAAAAAGCCGGAATTCTGCTCCGCCGCGCACTAGACCGTCTTCCACCTTTCCGTTTCTCACTCAGCGCCGCCTCCCTCTTCCCCTGAAGGCGCGCGCAGCTCTGCCAGCTGTCCTTCCTCACGCCGCTCGCTATACTCACTCTACCGAGCAGCCTAGGTATGCCACACGGGGGTCACCCCACGCGCGTTGGCTCTAATTTTCTACCGTCTCGCCCGTTATGCGCGTCGCGTCCCGCCGCGCTTCGCAATGCGCGTCGCGTCAGGTCGGGTGCATTGCTAAAGTTGGCATTTTTATCCGTGTTTTGAGGAGGCATCCCAGAAGCTGTCCGCCACCATATGTGAAATGGATTTCCCGACAGCTTGTCTCTCGCAAGGAGGCGTCTTGCATCGCGTATGTCTACAATGATCCGCGACACGCTCCGTAGTAGGCAATTCCCGCGTGTGTTCCCTCTTAATTTTATAAAAGGCGAACCTCGGTAGGTTGACCACTGTCAACGCGAGGCGGTGTCTACTCCTGGGGCGCCTCAATTGACTCGTTGTGTTGACTGTAGTCAACGCGAGGCGGTGTCTCCTTCTGTGACGTCTCAGAAACAGTTCGTTAGGTTGACTTCAGTCAACGCGAGGCGGTGACCGGAGGGGGAGCGCAGGTGGGCTTGGGTGGGGAGGAATAGTAGAACGGGTTTGCAGGGGGGGGGCGGAAGAGCACGCGGAAGAGGAGGCGGAAGAGGACGCCGAAGAGGAGGCGGAAGAGGCGGCGGAAGAGGCGGCGGAAGAGAAGGCGGAAGAGGGGCCGGAATAAGGAAGTTAGTCAGGGGAACGTTCGCGCGGCAGAAATGCTGTCGCAGTCATCGGGGGTGCCGCACTGGGAGGCGGAGGAATCGGGCGCGCGGGACGCGGCGGCGGCGGGGATGGCAGGCGGCAGCATGGCGGCGAGCGCGCCGATGCTCGCGCCGCTGTACCCGTCAATATCGATGGACGCGCACGCCGTCGAGCTCGCGTCGTACATTCTCTTTCCGCCGCCGCCCAGCCACGGCTCGCCCTCCCTGCGGCCCCTTCAAGGTAAAGTTTCCTCCCCCGCCGATCCCCCACTTTGTATTGACATCTCCCCCGTTCCCGTCCCCGTCCCTGCCCCCGCCCCCGCCTCCGCCCCCGTCCCCTCCCCCGTACCTGCCTCCGCCCGTGCCCCGCCCCCTGCTCCCCCCCGCTATCATCCTTCCGCACTTTCCTTCCCCCTTCTCGCCCCCGCGCGTCCCGCCCATCCTTCTTCCGCAGCTTCCCTTGCGCCCAATGCTTCCCCAACCCCTCTTTCCCGTCGCCCTCCACGCTCCCACCATCTCCCGCCACGCCCTCCCCTCCCCTCGCCCGTTCCCCAGGTTTCCCCGGGGGGCCCTCCGCGCCCACGGGCGCATCCGCGGCGGCGCAACTGGCGCGCCAGGCGGACGCGGAGGAGCCTCTGCTATTCGCGGAACGGATATCCGCGCAGGCGCAGGGCGGGTTGGTGGGGGAAGCGACGGGGGGAACCGACGGGCATGTGGGGAGGGAAGGGGCGGAAGGGGGAGCTGAAGAGGGGAGTGCGGGGAGGGCGGAAGGAGCAATGGTAGGGGAGGGGGAAGCAGGAAAGACAGCAGAGGGAGAAAGGGTAGGAGGAGGAGGAGGAGGAGGAGGAGGAGGAGGAGGAGGAGGAGGAGGAGGAGGAGGAGGAGGAGGAGGAGGAGGAGGAGGAGGAGGAGGAGGAGGAGGTGGAGGAGGAGGAGGAGGAGGAGGAGGAGGAGGAGGAGGAGGAGGAGGAGGAGGAGGAGGAGGAGGAGGAGGAGGAGGAGGAGGAGGAGCTGGAGGAGGAGGGGAGGAGAGAGGAGGAGGAGAGGAGGGAGGAGAGGGGAAAAGTGACAGGTTGTACCAGCGGTATAAAGTCGCTGCAGCTTATGGCTTCCTGGTCCCCGTCTTCCCTCCCCCCCAATCCACCTCTCCTCCGCACCCCCTCCCTCCACCGCAGCACCCCTCTGCACCGTGAATTATCCCTGCACCGCAATTCCCCCCTGCACCGGGAACTATCCCTGCACCGCTCTTCACCGCTCCACCGCGAATTATCTCTCCAACGCGGGTCCCCCCTCCTCCGGGAGTTATCTCTGCACCGGGACTCCTCCTTGCACCAGGAGCTCTCTCTTCTGCATCGCAAGCCGTCTCTGCAGCGGCATCAGCCTGTGACAGCACTGCTGCAGCAGCAAAACGGCGATTCTGCTGCTCCTGCTCCTGCTGCTGCTGCTGCTGCTGCTGACGCTGCTGCTGAATCTGCTGCTGCTCTTGCTGCTGGCACAGCTGCCACCGCTGCTGCTGGTGCTGCTGACGCGGGAGAAGCGGAGCAGAAGGAGCAAGGGGAGCAGAAGGAGAAAGGGGAGCAGAGGGAGGAGAAAGGGGCGGCGGAAAGGGGAGGTGGTAGCGTGGCAGGGGCGCAGGTACCTGGGGGTGTGGTGGGCGGGGCAGGGGGAAAGGGAGGGAGCGGTGCAGAGGAGGGCAGAGAAATGGGAGAGGGCGGAGAGAGAGGGAGAGAGGGGGGGGAAGGGGAGGGGGAGGGGGATTTGAGGTCCCTAGACCTGCACTTTGTGCCCTCTGCTCCCCGCTCCATCTTCCGTTTTGACTCGTACGAGTTCAGCTTTTTCGGGCCTACTGATTCGGCAGGCTCGGGGGGCACTGTTGCCGGACCTGGCAGTCTGGTTCGGGGGCCTAGTGGTCTGGGACGGCAGCTGTCTATCAGCTGTGCGGAGAGGTTGCCAGAAAAGGTGGGGGGAAGGGGCGCACTGGGGGGAGGGGCGGAGTTGGGGGAAGAAGGGGAAGCAGGGGAAGGTGCTATTGCAGGGGGAACGGGATTGGGGGAACATGGGGCAGAGCAGGGGAAGGGAGGGCGAGAGGGTCTGGGAGAAGGCGGCTGGGGGACGGGGAAGGGCGGGAATGGAGCGGAAGGGGGAGAGCTTGGTGGTGTTGGGGTCGCTGCTGGGCTTAGTGGGAGTGAAATGGGCGGCAGTGGCATGGGGATGGGCGGCACTGGTGCTGCCTTGGCCCGCACTGGTGCTGGTGTGGGCGGCAGTGGGAGCATAGGCGCAGCGTGGCGGCGAATCATGGGGAATTCGAGCAAGGAAGGGGGGCTGTATGAAGGTAGCAAGGCGAATGGTGTGGGCGTGAGCACAGGCACAGGCACAGGCATGGGCATGGGCATGGGCATGGGTATGGGTATGGGTATTGGCATGGGTATTGGCATGGGCATGCATGGGGACATGGGGGAGGGAATAGTGCGTACGGACAGCTCATGCCTTGATGCTGTTGTGCATCCCCTCAGGCGTGTTGTGCTAGAACCTTCTGCTGCTGCTGCCCCTGCTGCTGTTACTGTTGCCGATACTGCTGCTGCTGCTACAGCTGCTGCTGCCTCCGCTCCTGCAGTTGCCCCTGCTACAGCTGCCTCCGCTACAGCTGCCCCGGCTGCAGCTGCTGACGCTGTTCCAGACATTAGCATGACCACAGCAGCAGTAACAACAGCAGCAGGAGCAGCAGTCAACGCCTCTCCTCCTCCTCCTTTTCCTGCTCCTTCTACTACTGGCACCAACACGGCTGCTGCTGCCAGCGAAGCACCCGATCCACCCTTCTCCTTCACCACCAAGCAAAGCCGCAGCCCCACTCCCCCTCCCGCCTCCCTCCTGCCCTCCCTCCCCCTCTCCCTCCGCATGCGCCCCCCCAGGCTCATCCTCCCCCCCGACCACTCCCCCATGCACTCCCCCTTGCACCCTGGCCCGCCCCTCTCCCCCATGCCTCTCCGCCACTCCCTCTCCCCAGCTCCCCCCCGCCCGTCCATCTCCCCCGCCCCTCGCCACCCCTCCCCTTCTGTCTCCGCCTCGCTCTCCCCCACGTCTTCCACCCCATGTAACAATCTCCCTCTCACGTCTGTTACCAGGCCTCTCCCTTCCGCTGCCCTTCCCCTGCAAGAGACGCAGGCCTCACACGCCCATCCATCCCACACTCATACCTCCCACAACCATGACCCCCATTTACATCCGTCCAAACGTCTCAAGCTGTTTCCTAGCCCTTCCCCTAGCCCCCTCCCAAGCCCTAGGGCTGCTGCTGCCGCCGCCGCCGCCGCTGCTGCTGCCGCTGATGGTTCTGCTGGTGGTGCTGCTGCTGGTGGTGGTGCTGCTGCTGCTTCTGCTGCTGCTGGTGGTGTTTCTGCTGGTGCTGTTGGTACCAGTGGTGGTGCGGCTATGCATTTCCCTCGGTCTCGTTCCGCTGGTGGTGCTGGTGCTGCTGCTGGTGGTGTGACAATGCGTTTCCCTCAGTCTCGATCAGTTGGTGCTGCTGGTGCTGATGGTGCAACCATGCGTTTCCCTCAGTCTCGTTCCACTGGCTCAGAGGGTGGGTTGGCAGGGGGAGCGGGTGGGAGGCTGGGAGGGGCTGATAGGGACCTGTGGGGAGGGATGGAGGTGGGAAACGGCTTGCCTGCTGCTGCCGCTGCTACCGCTGTTTCCCCTGTTGCTGCTGGCGCTGTTGGTGCTGCCGCTGGTAATGCAGCCATGCGTTTCCCTCTGTCCCGTTCCACTGGCTCAGAGGGCGGTTCGGCAGGGGAAGCAAGCGGGAGGCTGGGTGTGAGCGGGGGCTTGGTAGCGGTGGGTAACGAGGTATGGGGAGGGGTGCAGGTGGGTAAGGGAGCACACGGGGGAGAACGAGGGGGATTTGATCTGAACCAAGTGCGTGTGAGCCTTGTGCCTCAGATAGGGATGCCGGGAGCTCCGTCTGAGTCAACTCATAAGTTAAGCCCTGTGCTGCAAGTAAGGGAGCTGGGAACAACAGCCGCCGCAGCAGCAGCAGCACCCGCAGCAGCAGCAGGAGTGATGGGGGGATTGGGCATGGGCATGGGGGAAAGGGCACTGGGTGCAGTGGGGCTGGGGGAACGAGGGGCAGTGGGCATGGGGGAAGGGGTGGGGAGCGCCCTGGGGATGGGGGAAGGGGTAGGAGGCGCACTGGGGATGGGGGAAGGGGCAGGGGGCGCACTGGGGATGGGGGAAGGAGATATGGGCGCGGCATTGCTGCGGCTTGTGGGGGGGAGTCTGGGGGGAGCGGGAATGGTGGAAGGAGGGGCGTTGGCAGCACTGCTGGCGAGTGTGTTGGGAGGCAGCAGTGGGGGGAAGCTTCCCTTGAGACTTTCTGGGAGTGCTGCTGCCATGGGCCTCACTGGTAGTTCTGCTGCAGCTGCTGGCAGTGCTGCACTACTGGCGAGTGTGTTGGGAGGGAGCAGTGGGGGAACCTTTCCTTTGGGACTTTCTGGAACTGCAGCTGCCGGCAATGCTGCCACGTGCTCTGCCGGGCTCAATCCAGCCGTTGGTTCAAGTGCTGCTGGGTTCAATCCAGCCGTTGAATTGAGTGGTGCCGGGTTCAATCCAGCCATTGGATCGAGAGCTGCAGGGTTCAATCCAGCCGTTGGCCCACGTACTGGTGCAGGCGGTGCAGTGCAAAGAGGGTCCAGAGGCCCCACCCCCTCCACGCGCTCCCCCTCCCCTCTCCCTCTCCACCCCACGCTGCCTCTCCTCCCGCATGCCTCGTCTGCTCTTGCTGCTGCTGCTCCTGCTGCTGCTGCTCCTGATGCTGCTGCTGCTGCCCATGCGGCTGTGACCCCTGTCGTGGATTATCAGGCAGGAGTTGCAAGCAGTCGTCTTGGCAATGCTGCTGCTGCTGCTACTGCTGCTACTCCTGCTACTCCTTCTTTTTCCCCTGGTGCTACAGGCGCTGCTGCTGCTGCTTCTCCTGCTGCCGCTGCCGCTTGTGCTTCTGCTGGTGCTGGTGCTGGTGCTGGTGGTGGTGGTGGTGCTGTTGGTTGTGCTGTTTCTGGTGCGGGTGCTGGTGGTTTGGGCAGTGCAGCTGGTGTGAGCGAGTTGAGCCAGAGCAGTTCCGTGCATGCATTGCTGATGCTGCAGAAGCAGCTGCTTAAGCAGCAGATGCAGCAACTGGAGCAGCATCAGCTGCAACAGCAGCAACAACAGCATCAGCAGGGGCAACATCACCAGAGGCTGCTGCGACCATTGCAGGAGCAGCAGCAGCAGCAACTACAACAGCAGCAGCAGCAGCAGCTACAACAACAACAGCAGCAGCTGCAACAGCAGCAGCAGCAGCAGCAGCAGCAGCTGCTGCAGCAGCAGCAGCAGCAGGAGCAACAGCAGCAGCAACAACAACAGCAGCAGCAGCTGCAACAGTTGCAGCAGCAGCAGCTACAACAGGAGCTACAGCAGCGACAGCAGGAGCAACAGCAATCGCAACGGCCATTGGATTTGCTGCAACAGCAGCAACTGCTTCTTGAGTTGCGGCAGCAGCAGCAGCATCAGCAACAGCAGCAGCAGGTTTCTAGAGGCCCGTTTCAGTCAACAAGCTCTCACCAACAACACCAGTACAACCAGCTGCTTCCACAGCAGCAGCAGCAGCAGGCAGGGAGCGCGGTGAGACAATCCCTGAGTAGCAACTCGCTGACAACCACCACTGCCACCACGAATGGTATCAGAGCCGCTGCTGCCAACGTGGGTGTGTCGCCGTTTGGAAGTGGCGGCGCATGGGGCACGTCTCCTGTGTCTGCTGCTCCTGCCGCCACAGCTGCTGCTGCCCCTGGTGCAGCCAGTGTTGTTGCTGCTCCAGGGGGAGCCAGTGCTGCTGCTGCTTCTGCTGGTGTGACTGCTGCTGCTGCTTCTGCTGGTGTTATTGCTGCTTCTGGAGCGGCGACAGGTGGGTCTGCAGTGGCAGGAGCATCAGGTGCTGCAGGTGTTGCACCTGTACCTGTACCAGCAACAGCAGCTGTTGGAGCAGCAGCAGCAGCAGCAGCAGCAGCAGCAGCAGCAGCAGCAGCAGCAGCAGCAGCAGGAAGAGCTGGAATTGCGGCAGGTGGTGGCGGCGGCGGTGGTGGTGGTAGTCGTAACGTGGTAAAAGGGAGGTCTGGCGCAGGGAGAGGAGGGGGCTGGTCTGGGTCAGGTTTGGAGGAAGATGGGGAGGAGAGCACAGGCGATTCAGAGCGAGAGGAGGGGGAGGAGGATGGTGGGGAGGATTTGGGGCTGAGAGGGGTGGGGCGGCCGGGTCCCAGGAGGAAGAGTGGAGCGGTCACCAAGCCGTGTGCTGCCGCGCGGGTAAGTGCTGGGGTCCTGGAGGGGGGGTTGGTGGGGGAAGGTTTCGTGGGAAGTGTGGGGAAAAGGAGGGAGTGTGTGTTCAACCGAGGAGGAATAGTGGGGCGGTGACCAAGCCGTGTGCTGCCACATGGGTGAATGCTGGGGTTTTTTTGAGTCAACTCAGTCTTTTGAGTCGACTGACTTTTGGGTCGATGCAAAGTCACCTTGTTTTGAGGTGGTGCAAGATTCAGATGGGCCAGGCCCGAGGAGGGAAAGCGATGTGCAGGGAGTTTCAGAGAGCTCCTCCTCCCATTCCCCTCCCCTCCCCTCTGCCCCCCCTCATTCCCCCACCACTGTGCGGAACCCTGCAGAAGCGAAGGGATCGCTTATCGCGGCACATCCGCACGCGGCAGGGGCTGGTACCTGCATCCACCAAGACTGATTCCGCTACTGTCCCAGCCTTATGCGTACTTCTCTTCACTGCACTGTTTGCCCCTCTCACTTCTCCTCACTACACTGTTTGCCCCAACCCTTCTCCTTCCTGTGCTGAACCCTGCAGAAGCGGAGGGATCGCATATCGCGGCACATCCGCACGCTGCAGGGGCTGGTGCCCGCAACTACCAAGACTGATGCCACCACTGTGCTGGCTCAGACTATCCGTTACCTGCGCGGCCTCGAAAGCCAAGTATCGGTGAGTTGGGCAGTGTGAGCTGTGCTGCTAAGGGAAGGGGAGTGTGGAAGTATGCTGCTAGTGCCCGCATCCACCAAGACAGACGCTGCCACTGACTGTGCTGGCTCAGACCATCTGCTGCCTGCGTGGCCTCGAGAACCAAGTCGCTGTGAGTGGAAGCGAAGGGGAGAGTTTGAGCCACGGGCTAGCATGAATGAGTGTGCGAATGGGCGATGGTCGCCAGTATGCCACTGCGCTGGCTCAAACCATCCGCTACCTGCGCTGCCTCAAGAGCCAAGTTGCTGTAAGCCAATTTCCTGCATTCCATTGCTTCACTCCCTCTTCCCTCCACCGTCCTTCTGCTACTGCTGCCTCCACCCACCTCTCCTCTTACCCCACCCCACCCCCTCAGACCTCTCTACAAGCTTATCCACTCCCTTGTTGCTTCCATACGCTCCAGTTGCGTTCTGTTCTGACCCTCTCTCCCTGTCTGCATGCCCTGGTTTCAACTCTCCCCGTGTGTGCCTGCACAGGAGCTCAAGGCCAAGTTAGGTGCAATGGCAGGCAGCAGCTCCCAGGCAGAGTAGCAGCAGGACACGGGTTGCTGTTACGTAACACATAACACCTTCCGATGCACAGTTCTTTTGCCCTGCCTGCATGCTGAGGAGCTAAGGCCAAGGTGGTGCAATGGCAGGCAGCAGCTCCCCTCCTAGGCAGAGTAATGGCAGGCACCAGGCTCCAAATAGAGTAGTGGGTGGCACAATCGCTGTTGCCAGTGCGTAGCACCTGCCGTACACCAGGTGTCAGGGAGTACTGCTCCCCATTGCACAAGTGCCTTGTGTTGCCTTGCCATTGTGATTTGTGCATTGTTGTGATTGTTGTGGAGCTGCCAGGGCCGTGCGTGCCCGATGGGGCCCGAAGAAAACCGATCCCTTCTCTTCCAGCCTTCTTCGCTGAGTAGAATCTGAATGGAGTTCCCTGTAAGTCATTGTCAGCAGCTTGAATGACAGGAAGCAACAGTAACAGCAAGTGCATCAGAAGAAATACCTCAGCTCTGTGTATAGGCAAGAAACTACTGAGCAATGGTAGTAATTGGCTGGTGCATTCTCTGATTGCTGGTGCTATGTGCCCAGGCTCATGCCAATGTGCTTGGTCCATACTCCATATAGCACCCTGTGTAACAGCACATACAAGTCAGCAGTCTGGCCAGCAGACGTGGATTGAACTGACAGACACAAACCGCTCTGGCCTGGCTATATCCCTGTCTGCTGTCTGCCTTTCTGCCTCACTGCAAGACTTGCTAGACCACTGAGTGAGTTGTGGGACCATTTTGGACGAGCCTTTTCGGCAATAAGGACGGTTGGCAGCGGTGATGACTCATTGCTGCTTGCGGGGAAGGCGCCTGAAGTTGATGAACGGCGCCCACAGCAGCATGCTGGTAGCACAGGGTGGAGAGAAGGGGAACAGGGGGAGGGAAAGAGGGGGATAGGTGCGTTGAGTGGCAATGAGTGGGTGGCAGCAGTTGCTTAAAGCTCCTTGCCGTGGAGGCGCCTAAAGTTGATGAAGGGCGACCACAGCAGCATGCTGGCAGGGCGGGGTGCGAGGAGGAGGGTGTACATAGGCAGTGGCAATGAGATGGGTGTGCAGGCAGTGGGAGTGAGTGTTCAAAGGTTTGTTTAAAATGGCATGAGCACGGAAAACCAGATACAGCACTGGAAAACGAGGAATCTATCTTGTGACGGAACACTCACGCGGGGAAGAAGGCGAACATGAGGTAGTACTGGAAGATGGTCTCAATGGTGGACCGGTTAAACCACCGCAGGCGCAGGTAACCGTACACCAGTGGCTGATGGGTGAGGTAAGGGGTGGGGGTAGGAGAAGGTGGTGGGGGTATGGGGAGGGTGGAAAGGGAAAGAGGAGAGGAGAACATGAGGTAGTACTGGAAGATGGTCTCGATGGTGGACCGGTTGAACCACCGCAGGCACAGGTACGCGTACACCAATGGCTGGTGGGGGAGCGGTGGGAGGGGATAAGAGGGTGGGGGTAAGGGGAAGGAAGGAAATAACAAAGCCATACTGGCAGCGGCAACGACAAATTACTGACCAGCGCAAAAAACTCGCTGACAGGGACAAAGAGGAGCATTCACAGAAAGCGCAGCACCACCAGAGGCGCGTACAAGCGCAGCAGCACTCACGGGCGCAACGAAGAGGTAGATGCCGGCGGTGATGCCCCAATAGATGAGCGACTCCACGAACTGCTCGTCCGTCTGCCCCACCGCCTCTGCCGCCACCGCTGGCGCTGCCAGGACCGCGAGCTGCGCGGGGAGGAGGAAGAACGAGGGGAGGGAGGAGGGGGGGGGGGGAAGAAGGCAATGCGGCAAGTTAGAAGACTGACCACGCAACTCGGTCTTACGGAAACTCCCCCAGACTCGAACGACTGATCAGTCGAGTAGAAGAACACGTTTCCCACTCGCAACTCATGCAGGTGCACTAATAATGAAGAGAGTACACTAATGTTTACGTGTCTCCTGCCGGTTTGTTCCGTTTTGAACATTCTAAAAATCGTTCAGAATGAGAAGTAGGATGAAAGAAAGAAACCTGGGGATGCTAGATACGACGACTAAACTGCTTTGGATGGTAAGTAAACTTGATTCTCTCAAACTCTTTTCCGTGCAAAAATAAAAAACGACGACTGAAACATTTGCTTTATTCACTGAGTCTCTTTCCGTGATTTTCTGTCACCGCTCCGAATGCCTGGTCACTAGCTGAGTTTCTGCACGTCCCCGTGCTCTTACGACGGCTAACTTGCAACTGCTAAACGACAATGCGTGAACGTACTGGTGCGAGGAAGGCAGCGGCAGTAGAGGAAATCGTCGACGCGTTGACGGCAAGCTGCTGCGGGGAGAACTGCGATCAGAGTAACAGGGCGATGGGAGCAGTAACAAGAGCAGCAACCTTATGTCGACGTAACCGTGCTGGTAGATCTGATTTTCAGTATTAAGAATATTCTGTGCACACTAAACGGCTGGGTGAACGTGCAACGGAGAACTGAAGGCTATCAGGGTCAGGACCAAGTCACCGTAGCAGGTTCCGGAAAAAAAATAAAAGAAAAGAAAAAACCAAGGGAATGGGGCAAGGCTGTACTTGATCGATGCTCGCTTGGGTCGAAGATTGGCTGACCAGCGAACTTCTTAAAGGCGAAGCAACCTGTTATCGCGTGATGGGGAGAAAGAGAAATCGCGAGAGTTCACGGTTAACTTGTAGTTAAGACCACCTGCTAATGCAGACTTGGATCGAACTGCTGAAGGACGCTAATGCACGCCTCTAAAGCAGGCTAGCGAGGCTAGGAACGATTAGATCGCTTCCGTCTGGTTACATGAACTTCTCAGCTCATGTCATCACATCGCGAGTAAATGTGAATGTTTGTCCACGTCCACAAGAGAATAAGACTCAAGCCAGCGTGTGGATGCTCATACTAGGAGAGCTGAAGTCAGGTCGCACCTCAGGCTGGTCGCAGCTCGCACGAGCATTGACGACGACTCTGGCGTTGACTGCCGACGGTCGTGCGAGGCGAGCTCCAGATGCGAATCTGGGCCGCGACGGCAAGGAGAGGTACGGTGTGCGGCTCGCAACCGACGCCTGCATTGTGACGGCAGCCATTGCTTTGACACTAAAGCGTCGGCTTTGACTGCTGACAAGGGCAACGGGCAGGAACCTAACACCAGCAAAATATTTATGATAGGAGTTGGCTGAACTATTTTTTGTTTCTGATTTGAGCGGCTGTGCGCTGTATAATCTGCTGTCAGCTCCTCTCTATTTTCAAGAGCGGTTCAACACGATGCCTTTGCAAATGGAAGCGGTTCACTTGCTTCGCCGCTTTGAACCGCGACTTACCTGTCTAAACATTGTCATGACTTATGTCAAGCATCACACTGACAGGAACGAAGTGGTGAATGCATCACGACGGTAACACGGCATGGTGCAGTCAAAAGCCTGCTTTTGTGTGACAAGGCAGAATCCACGCGGCAAGATCGAGGCCACACCAGCCAATAGTCTGGATGACCTATCCACAGCCATAGGTATATCGCCATTGTGAACCTCGATTACTTCGCAGTTGTTGTACCGCGGTGTATTGCTCTTCCGTCCCACCTTTATCCTGTATCATAGTTCTCTTTAGCGATTCTTTGATTTCATGCCCCAACTTTGACCGATATTCTACCAGTTTCATGCGCGAACTCTGACCTCAGAATCTCAGATGTTGACGTTCGTTGGCTCGGGTGCCGCCAAACCTCAAAATCACAGCTCCGGCCACCTCCGGAACCCCCGAGGTGCCTTGGAAACACGTCATCCGTACACCAGACAGGCCATTTCAACCAGACCAACATCAGCCGAACCTCAGCCGAACCAAAATTCTACCAGCAAACGTTCTCCTCACCTCACCCAGTCACTTGTTCCCTTGCTCACTGATCCTCGGCTCAACCAGTCGATCCCTCCCTACCTATTTATCCTTTCAATCTTCCTGTCCTGTTCCACTCCTCTCACTTGGTCCTTGTCACTGTATCATTGCTTGTCTCATTGTAGCTCTCCCCTCGGTTGTCTGTCAGTGAGTTTTCACCAACATCGTTGTCTCCACAACGCTGTGGTCCAAACAACTAATGCTTATTAATTCCGCTTAGGTGTCCTGAAAATGGCGGAACGCAAGCGGCAAGAACGCGGTCCTGTTGGCAGCACCCCACCAGAACCGTCTCCCAGACCTACCCGCCCGCAGCAGACGCATTCCGGACCTCTCGCTCCCCGTAAGAAGTCCGACGCCGGCCCGAATAAGCAAACGCCTTCGGCGCAGCAGAAGGATGGGCCGCCGCGAGCCAGCGCGAGAGGCGCGTTCCCTCGCTCCAGCAGCGTGGGAAGCCCCATCGTGCCAAACGAAGAGGTCAGCGAGCCCCCGCCGATAGTTCAGCGCGCGTCGACCGGATCGCGGCAGCTGAAAGTCAACCCAGTCAACGATCCAGGTGTGGCTGAAACCGCGACAACCCCCACGGGAAGTCAAGAAAAAAAGAAAGGGCTCTCGTTTCTCGGCGGTCTAAGCTTTAAAACCGCCTCGTCCTCGGATAAAGGGCAGACGACCACTTTAAGAACGTATCCCGATTTAAAACCGTGCATTGTTAAAGGTAACAAACCGCGGCGCCGGCAACGAGACCTATCGGAACCCAGAAAAAAGGTTTCTTTTAACGAGAAGATCGAAGTCGCGGTGTGGGAGGTGGAGGAGGAGGAAAATGTCACAGAATCCAAATCGGCGAATAAAGGACGTGGATTCTTCTTATCCAAGGTGCTGACTGGCGCAGCTAGCAGTCTGCTATCGCAGGGGTCGAAGAAACCGCTTCCCAAGGATCTGCCACTTCAGATTGCACCGAAGAAGAAAAAGGGCGAAGCGGGGAAGACGGGGAAGGCGGGGAAGGATCAAGCGGCATCCGGTGAGGTTAAGTCGGCGAAAGCGCGCCCAGCCCCTGGTGCGAAGCGCGCCACTCCGCCCGTCGCGGGTGCCAAGCCCAAAGCTGCAGGCGGAAGACCTGGCCCTCCTGCGCAGAGACCGCGGCCGGCGGGCGCGGATGCGCCAGGGATGGGGGAGAGGCGGATGCGGCCGCCTCCTCCTGCCGGCAGTGGTGGCGGCGACGGCGGGCCCCGGGGCCCCCCTCGCGCTGGCGCTGGGCGCGGGCAGACGGCAGCGGAGAGGCCGGTGGAAGGTCGGCAAAGGGATCGGGGGGAGATGCGGGGAAACATGGGCGGTCCGGGGCAACCGGCGGGCCTCCCGCGGGACATGGCGCAGCAAGGGGGTCAGCAGCAGTGGGGCGGGAGTGGCGGAGGGATGGGCGCTCAAGGAGCGAGCATGAGCGGGCAGGGGGGCATGGGCGGACAGGGGATGGGGATGATGGGGCAGGGGATGATGGGAGGGGCGGGAATGGCTGTGGCAGGACCGCCAATGGGGATGCAGACGCAAGGAGGTATGGGGGCGGGGAACCAAGGCATGGGCATGGCCGGCCCAGGTATGGGCATGCAAGGGCAGCCGATTGGCGCGCAATACGGATATGATGCAAATCAGAACACGATGGGCATGGATATGGCAGGTGGCGGAGTATATGGTCAGCAATGGGCGGGGGGTGCGGGGAATGCGGGGGGTGGCGGCGAGTGGGAGTATGAGCAGGAGGGGGAGTGGGGGGAGGTGGAAGGGGAGGAATACGAGGATGAAGAGGAGGAGCTTGATGATGGGGAGGATTATGAGGAGGAAGAGGAGGAAGAAGAGGAGGAAGATGAGGAAGAAGAGGAGGAGGAAGAGGATGAGGAAGAAGAGGAGGAAGAAGAGGAGGAAGAGGGTGAGGAGGAGGATGAGGAGGGGGAGGACGAGGAGGGTGAGGAGGGGGAAGAGGAGAACAGTGCTAACTGGTCGCACGCAGGGGGTGGTTACCAGCAGGGGCAAATGGGGATGCCTGGGGGTCCGATGGGCGGGGGGATGGGGATGCAGCAGCAGGGCATGCCAATGCATGTCAATAATCCCAACCAGGGGCCATCTATGCCTGTCGGCTTTGGGGTTCCTCCTGGCATGATGGCCCCCCCTCAGGGGTACTCGAACGCAATGCCTCCAGGTTCCGGGCCTAATTACCCTGGCTTTCAACCCGCGCGCGGGTACCCCCAGCAGGCGCAGATGGGGGGAATGGCGGATGATCTGTATGGCGGAGGGAATGGGGGCGGTGGAGGGATGTGGGGAGCGCAGATGGGGGGAATGGCGCCCCAGGGTGGGGGGATGGGGGGCCCTGGGGGCGCAATGGGGGCGGTTGATGACGACCTTTACGGGGGCAGGGGGAGCTGGGGCGGCCAGCAGGACATGGGCGGAATGCAAGGGGGGATGCAGGGGGGAATGCAGGGAGGAATGCAGGGGGGCATGCAGGGGGGCATGCAGGGGGGCATGCAGGGGGCAATGCAGGGGGGCATGCAGGGCGGAATGCCGAGTAACATGTCGGGGGGCATGCAGGGCGGATGGCAGGGGCAGCAAGGGGGAGGGGGAGGGAATTGGGGGAGGCCGAGTTGGGGAGGCGGGGGAGAGATGGGGGGCGGAGAGCAGGGAGCGGGAGGGGCGAAGCTGGAGCGGTCTCTAGCAGCTGACGACGCCCACGAGCAGGAGCTGGATCAGGTGGGTGCATGGTCACTTGCGAGGCGCCTGCCTGCCTCAAAACACCTTATGAGCAAGAAGAACAGGAGCATGTGCGCGCACGCTGCTGCCACCACTCCCCACTCCCGTGTCCATCTTCCCCTCCTGTCACTCAACCTAAGCCATCCCCCGTTTTCCCCCCTCCACTTCTCCAACCTGCAGTTACCTAAAGTCCTCTCCCTTCCCCCCCCCCCCCCCCCCCCCCCCCCTCCCCCCCCCCTTCTCTCCCGCCATTGCAGGCCCGCGCTCTCCCTCCCGGCAAGCCGGCAGTGACACGGAGCACAGCATTCGTATTTGAAGACCTTGGCCTACAGGTGCAACGCAAGCCCCCCCATCCAGCATGCCGCCGCCCTCCGCAACAAACCCTAACCTGCCCGGAAATTTCCCGTCCGGGCAGCCGCCAATGTGGGGCAGCAGCATGAGCACGGGCGGGATTAACTCGGGGGGTGGTAACGGCCCGTTGACCCCGTCCAGTAAGATGCTGCTTGGACCGGGTGCGAGGTCACATAGAGGCATGCGGTTGCTCTCAGATGAAGTGCCTGAAATGAGGCAGAGAGGGATGGGGGGAGGCAGGAGGGCGGGTGGTGGAGGGGAGTATGACGGGGGGAGAGAGGTGCGGGCTCCGTCACCTGATGAGAGTCGGTTGAGTGAGAGGATGAGGAGGCAGAGTTTAGGAGAGGGAGGGGTGGGAGGGGGTGCGAGAGGCGGAGGTGTGAGTGGGGGTGGGGGAGGTGGGGATAGGCAGGGGCACAGGTACTCTGGGTCGACTATGAGCAATGCCAGCAGCGCTGTTGGGGGTGGTGGGGCGGGTGGGAGCAGCAGTAGCTCTGCGCGTAAACCAGGCAAGGATCAGCAGCAGCAGCAGAGCTCTCGAACAGAGAAGAGACAGCCTCTAACGCCACAGCAGCAGGCTGAGCAGAGGGAGAGAATTATGAAGAAGCTAGCTGGAAGCCAACCACAGCCGCAACCACAGGCCCCGGTGGAGCAAGAGTTGGGTGGTGAGAAGATGAAGAGGACAAGCACAGGTGGTAGAAGATAGAGTGAATGATAGGAGGCTGATATTTATGGTGCCTTTTGTGCTTCGAGATCATGTAATACGAGAGCAAGGAAAATTGCTTAGAATCTGCTGAAACTCATTGAAATGTGAAATTAGCATGCAGTATAAAACGTGTACTGTATGCGGCTTTCCTGAGGATGATTTGGTTTATTAGGAGGAATTTCGGAATGTCCAATTTTTCACGTGACTCAATCGAATGGAAGCTTCCCCTAGATTCCCTCGCTAACCAGCACCTGCCAGCAGCGCTGGCCTTCCCGCCACGGCAGCTCAAGCCGCGGCACGCGCAGCCAGCCACGGCGGTTGTCCCTTGGGCTTGGTTCGGTTTGCAGGGTGGCAGGCAGCTCGTTCCTCACCTGGCCCTTGAACTTGGTTCTTCCCTCCAGGTTGGTTTGGGTTGGGTCATCCTGACTCGCTTTATTTCCTCGGGTTTTGTTGTTTCTCCCTTGCTTGGGACTTTTGTTGCTTTCTGTTTTGGGACTCGGTTGTTTTCTTCCTCATGTCATTGTTGTTCCCTTAGCTCTTCTCAATTCTTCCTTGCTTGGACTTCTATTGTTGCTCCTCGCTTTCTCGTCCGATTTCTAGTGGCCGGTGTCAGTACGGTATCGATACGTTTGGATATTGCGGTTTCCCGTCGTCGCAGACAGGCTAACTGCAAGTCGCAGGTCAAACGTTCTCCGCGGAAATGCTTAAAAACAGACGGTTAAGAGAAGAACGAAGTCTCACGACGAGCTTGTAACCCGCTGGTAGCCATCGCTTTTAAAAAATTGTAGAGGTTCTAGGCAGGCGTCGAAGCAAGGCACACGCACTTCAGTAACAAACAGAACGAGATAAAGTTATTTCAGGGTAACTTAGCCTGAAGGCGCCATGGACGTGACGGCGGACATTAAAGTGCTGGTGGCGATGCGGGACGACCAGCATTGCCGAGAAGCCCTAGACTGGACAATTAAGGAGTTCGGGAAGCGCAAGGATACGAGCGTGTGTTTGCTCCTCACGCATATCGTCACGGAACTTCGCAATACAGGTGCGATATTGTAGCAGGATGCCTCATTATCAGCGAGTTGTTACCAGCTGGTAATTAACAGCGACTAGTGTCCGACGAGTTATTCCAACGAGTCAAAATTAACGAGTCTTTATCTACAATGTACGTCAACTAAAAGCTTCAATGCGTGAGGTACGCTCGAAGGACGGTTATCCAAGTCTCAGCACGATTCTGCCACGATCTACGCTTCTTTTCTCCAGACAAACTTCCTCGTTTATTTCTTTGTGATGTTTCTCTCTCGCCTTGTCTCTTACGCCTTGCTCACATCCTGTCGCAACGCGGTCGCTCTCTATCGCAATGCGTTAGCACCATGTCGCAGAACGGTCGCACCCTGTCGCAATACGTTCGCACCCTCTTGTAACACGCTCACACCCTGTCGCAACACACTCGCCCCTGTCGCAACACCTCCAGTAGTTTCAACGCTTAGCTTCCTGTGGGGACTCCCGTGTCTCCGGCTATTTTTTCTCTATCTGCCCATTCATCCTCCTGCCGTAACTCCTCCAAACCAGGAAACGTCTTCGTCCCTTCCCCAGCGCATCATGGAGTTGTACATGTGCGACCGCGTGCTGCTGTAGAACCCCCTTTCTTCCCCTTCTTCTTCCAACCATTCCCCGCTGCTTCCCCTGTTCAGCGGGCAAGCTGGTGCGCCTAAGCGAGGCGGACAGCCCGAGCGTGGCGGTGCACATATGCGACCGCGTGCTGCCGTATCTCGAGAGCCTGCAGGACGTCAGCGACGACGCGGGGGTGAGTCGCTTTAGCTACGGTCCGAGGGGGTGAGTGGCTTTAGGCGTGAGACGTGCGGACAAATGGCTTGCAATGTGAGGCGTGGGAGAGGTGAGGCTGCAAGCATGGCAGTGCACATATGCGACCACGTGCTGCCGTACCTTGAGAGCCTGCAGGACGTCAGCGACAACGCCGGGGTGCGTGGTTTTATTTGTGAGGCGTGGGCGTCAGTGGCTTTCAATGTGAGACGTGGGAGCAAGTGGCTAGGCATGAGCATGCAGAGACGAGTGGCTTTTGTCATGGGTGGCGCCATCCCCTGAAACCCGTTTCGTACCCTTCTTACTTCCCTTTTCACATCCCCTGAAACCCGTTTCGTACCCTTCTTACCTCCCTTTTCACATCCCCTGGAACCCGTTTCGTACCTCGCCTATCCCCGTTCCTTCCTGCCCCCACCCACCCAGCTGCCATCCACGGTGCACGTGATCAAGAACGAGGACAAAGGCGCCGCCATTCTTGAGGCGGCGCAGAAGCTGGAGGCCACGCACGTCGTGCTCGCCAGCATTCCCAACAAGCCTATCGGAGAGTGAGTTGATTCCTGAGTCGAGTTTTGAGACATGTGACACTGCCATGTCATTCCCCCACTGTCGTAGTTGAGCTTTCCCGTATAGTGTCTTGCCATCCTGTCAACAAGCCATCGTCATTCCCCATAGGACCTGTTCAACGTACTCGCCAGAAAGGAGGATCCAACCATGCCATGCCATCATGCCATCCCAACTAGCACAACCACCCTTCCCAAACCCCATGGCACGGCAGGTGGAAGACCATCAACGTGTGCGCGAGGGAGGGGGTTGTAAGCCACATGCTCTCGTGCCTTGATGTCAACCCCCCCGCTTCCTCCCTCCCCCGTTCTCCGCCTCTCCAAACCCCATGGCACGGCAGGTGGAAGACCATCAACGTGTGCGCAAAGGAGGAGGCGCTGCCGCCCGGCGCGACGCTCTATGTGGTGCAGAGCGGCAAGAAGCTCAAGACCGTGCAGAGCAAGGAGCAAGCGCCTGAAAAGGTGAGTTGACTCTGCATTCGCACCTTTTGAGACGTCTCGAAAGTCGCTGTTTGTGGTGCAGAGCGGTTCAGAGCGGCAAGAAGCTCAAAACCGTGCAGAGCAAGGATAAGGCGCCCGCCAAGGTGGGCCTTACGCATTCCCTCCTGCTGTCATTCGTGGTTTGCATTCACCTGCGCTTTCCACCCACGTTGTCCATCCCCGTCCCCTCCCCCCCGGCCGCCCCCCTCATCTTCTCCGCATCCTAGCCTGCCCCTCCCCCAGCGTGTATGTTCCTCGGTACGGCGCTCATCAAGAAGCTGCCAGACATATATGGAGAGGGATGGGGTGGGAAATATTTCCTCTCTCGTTTTCCCTCTCGCCATCTCCTTCTGGCACCCCTCCTTTCCTCTTTTCCCCTGCCCTTTGCCCCTCTTCCTTGCCTTTCCGCCATCCCAGCCCGCCCCGCCCCCAGCGCGCGTGTTCCACGGCACAGCGCTCAACAAGAAGCTGCCAGACATCCAGGAGGGGGGAAGCGGCGTGCAGGACGATGCTGACGCGCAGGGGGGCAGCGGGGCAGTGGGCGGGGAAGGGGAAGGGGACGCGGGGAGCAAGGAGGCCGCAGCAGAGGGGGGGGCGGAGGGGGAAGGAGCAGGGAAGGCGGAAGCGGGGGCGGCGGAGGGGGGAGGGGAGAGCGAGGGGAAGAACGAGGAGGGGCTGTCTGCTTTGGAGCTGGCCAGGCGAGCGTATGCTGCTAAGGCCAAGGCAGCTGCTGGGGGGGGTGGCGGTGGGGGAGGGTCTGGGGGCGCTGCAGCAGGTGGCGCAGCAGGAGGAGGAGGAGGGGCGGCAGCAGCAGGGGCGGCAGCGGGAGGGGGCGTGCCGCCCAAGGACCGGCCAAGGAAGAAGAAACCATCGGCTGGCGCCAAGGTTGGTAGCACTGCCTTTCTGTCCCGTGCTACATTGTGTGAGAGAGAAAAAATCATGAAAAGCATGATCACGTTTGTCCTGTAACCAGTCCCTTTTTGTCATTCGGTTTCCAGACCGGGTGCTGTGCTGTTGAGGTGCATCACACACTGTGATGAAATAATCTCGCTTCCATTCATTTTCCATTCCCTGGGCACCACCCTAATGCTTGGTCCGGCCTCTCCTCTTTGTATTCCAACCCCATATCCCTCCTACCTACCTCTGCCACACGCTTCCTGTGCAGGCTCGCCTGGAGAAGAAGATGGCAGAGCGTGAGAGCTCGTCTGGACGCAAGGTCCCTTCGGACAAGAACCCGCTGACAAGGCCACTGCAGGTGGTGGAGCCCGCAGAGGGCACACAGCGACAGCCGTTCCGCGAGTTCACTCTGGAGGAGCTGCAGGCGGCCATCGAGCACTTCTGGCCCAACCACGTGTGCGGCGAGGGCAGCTATGGCGTGGTGTATAAGGGCATGATCGACGGGCAGACCGTGGCTGTGAAGCAGCTCAAGAACCCGGATGTGAAGGCTGCTCTTGATGAGATCGACAGGGAGGTGCGTTGGTGGTAGGGTGTGGCTGACCTGACGGGGTGGTTGAGGTTGTGGCTGGGGTGCAATGATGCTTGTGGCAGCTACAGCGTGCTGTGTAAGGGCATGATTGACGGGCAGACCGTGGCTGTGAAGCAGCTCAAGAACCCGGATGTGAAGGCTGCTCTTGATGAGATCGACCGTGAGGTGCGTTGCGATGGGGTCCAGGTGAGGGTGTTGCGGTGTGGTGTGGTGTGGGTGGGTTGTGGTGGAGTGGTGGAGCAGAGTTGAGGTGTATCAATCTTCTTTAAAACCCTTTTCCAACCCTTTCTCCATTCCTCCCATCCTCCTCCACCCCCTCAAACACACGGAGCGCCACAGATGGAGGTGCAGAAGCGCATAGACCACCCGAACGCGGTGCGCCTGGTGGGGTACTGCAGGGAGGACCGCTCGCTGGTCTACGAGTTCATGGCCAACGGCTCCCTCGAGGACCGCCTTCTGTGTATCGGAGGCGTGCCGCCCCTCCAGTGGCCTGAACGCTGCCGCATTGCCATGGAGGTGAGATCAGGAGGTGCAGGTAGGATGGGGTGCAGTGCGGTGCTATGGGGTGGGGTACTGCAGGGAGGACCGCTCGCTGGTCTACGAGTTCATGGCCAACGGGTCTCTTGAAGACTGCCTGCTCTGCATTGGGGACGTGCCACCGCTCCAGTGGCCCGAGCGCTGCCGCATCGCCATGAAAGTGAGCTGAAGGAGTGCAGGTGGGTGAGGTGCGGTGGGTTGCGGTGGAGTGCGCCTGCTCTGCATTGGGGGCGTGCCGCCCCTCCAGTGGCCCGAGCACTGCCGCATTGCCATGGAGGTGAGCAGCTTTGGGTTGCAGCGTGGGAGGGTGTGCATTGGGGGCATGCCGCCGCTGCAGTGGCCCGAGCATTGCTGCATCCTCCCCCCCTTCCTCCCTGCTTCTTAAACCCGGAACCAGATTGCAGCAGGCTTGCAGCACCTGCACACGCACAAGCCGCCCATCGTGCATCGCGACGTGAAGCCAGCCAACGTGCTCCTGGACGACCACTTCACCGCCACCCACTCTGTCCTTTCTTCCTTCCCTGCTTTCCCCCTTCCCTGATTCCCCTGTTCCCCTCTTTCTCCCTTCCCTCCCTCTCCTTCCTCTTCCCCCCTCCCTCACTCCCCCCCCCCCCGCACCCACCAGATTGCAGCAGGCTTGCAGCACCTGCACACGCGCAAGCCGCCCATCGTGCATCGCGACGTGAAGCCAGCCAACGTGCTCCTCGACGACCACTTCACCGCCAAGCTCGGCGACGTGGGGCTCGCCCGCCTCATGGGCGACCTCGCTCCCGGCCACTCCCACGTCGTGCGGAAATCCGTTATCGTCGGGACCGAGCACTATGTAGACCCTGAGTATTTGTGCGCCAGGAGGGGGTATCTCGGGCCGAAATCAGACGTGTACTCGTTCGGAGTGGTGCTGCTGCAGATGCTGGTTGGGGAGGTGCCGAACCTGAAGAGGATCGATGCGATGGTGGAGAAGGAGGAGTTGGCAGTGGTGCTGGATCCCCGAGCCGGCGAGTGGCCGCCGAACCTGGCGCTGGACCTCGCGAACCTGGGGCTGTGGTGCGCGGAAATGGACCGCCGAGATCGGCCGGATCTGACGGAGGAGGTGATTCCTGCACTGATGGATATTTGCGAGGCGGCGGCCGATGCGGTGGTGGAGTGGGAGGCGAAGCAGGAGGCGCAGAAAGAGAAGGAGCGGCTGGAGAAGGAGGAGAAGGAGAAGGCTGAGAAAGAGGCGAAAGCGAGGGCTGAAGAGGAGAAGAAGAAGAAGCAGCAGGCGGAAGAGGAAGCTGCTAAGAAGGCCAAGGAGGCAGCTGCTGGGGCTGGGGCGAGTGCGGCGGCGGCTGGGGGGAAGAACGCAGGGGCAGCAGGGGCGGTGGCGGCTCCGTCGAATGAAGCTGCGAAGGGCGGGTGCTGTACGATTTCGTAACGCTGTTGTGACCGTTATGGCGTGGCGGTTTGTGAAATATTTGGCAGGCAATGAGGCTAGAATCTAGACGCCGTGCCTTGGTCCGATGCGAAGTATGTTGTGTGGGAAAAGGAATGATGGCAGAATGTTGGTATGATTAGCTAACTAATTTAGGAGCCTGCCTGACTTGGTTAGTATGCCAGGTGTGTGATTATGTAAATGCGCTAGAACATTAGGATTTGTGATCTAGGGAGAGCTATGTGTTGTAGGATTGATCTGGATGCAGTGTAGATGTTTTTTGCATTGCAGCATGCGAATTTTGTAGGTGGTAGCTAGTTCTATAATTGATCGTACGCTAAACGAGCAAGAGGAGGTTCTTAGCGCGTTCGGCGACTGCCGCTTGCCATACAACCCCTACCGCACCCCGTCACTCCAAGATCAACGTTCATTTCCCAGCCAACACCCCGCCACAAGCGTCGCCGCATCCGCCGCTTTCCGCTAACCGCTCCATTTCCCCTCTCACCGCCGCGCCTCGTTGCACTGCCCGAATCCGCCGCGTTTCCCGCTGCCATGGCCGCCGCGCTTAACCGCCGCGGTTTCTCCCTCGCGCGCACGGCGCTCCCACAGCTCCGCGCGCTGACGACCTCCGCGCAGCGCTCCGCGGTGGGGAAGGCGGAAGCGGCGGAGGTGTCCGGAGTTCCCAAGGAGCAGCTTCAACGGAAGGTGCGGTTGGGGGAGAAGTCGGGATGCGTAGTGGTGGAGACAGTAACCTTGTGCTTATATCGAGGCCGTCGCGGACTCGACAGTTCGTTAGCTCATCCGCTCATCCGCAGTTCCTTGGGTCGACCCGCTTCATCCGGAATGGCTGCCTCGCAGCCCGGATCGCGCCGCCCATCCAGCCCTGGCGCCTTCCCCCTTGCCTTCCCATACCTTTCCCCGTATCTCCCCCTTCTCCACTTCCCCCTGCCCCCCTTCTCCACTTCCCCCTGCCCCCCTTCTTCACTTCTCCGTGTCCCCCCTCCCGCTCCCACCCTTCCGCCTCCGTGCTTGCGTGGCGGTGTTGCCGACGTGGCGTGGGGATGTCCCGCAGGTGGTGGTGTACAGCCCCGCGCCGCGCGAGCCGCGTTGCAGCAGGGCACTATCCGCTGTCCCCCTCCAGCTCCCTCCCTTATCTCTCACATCCCTTCCCCCTTTTGTTCCCTCCTTTGTCACTCACAACCGCCGCTCTGTGGGTATGTTCCACAGGTGGTGGTGTACAGTCCCGCACGAGCCGCGTCGCAGCAGGGCATGGGGCGGCACGGACAGTGGAAGATCCGATTCGATACCACGCAGAAGTGAGATTCCGTTGGTATTTTTTCCCTAGAATGATGAACTTTGACTTCCCAGTCTCCTGCTGCTCTCCCGTTCCTCGGAAGTTATCCGATGTGACACCACCATAGGTGGGAGAGGCTGTTTGCTGTGTGCATGTGCGTGCACTCGTGTGCATGTGTCGTCACGTGTCATGGGGTATGTGCATGGCCACATGTGTGTCGAGGTGTGCATGTCGGCGTGCATGTGTGTGCTCAGGTGGGAGAATCATCCCTCAGGTGGACATCCACAGCAGACCCCATGGCTTGCGTCGCGGAATCCTCCTTTTCCTTCTTGAGTCAATTCAAAAGTGCACCGTGTGTCTCTCGATGTGCATGTATGTACGCTGTTATGCATGTATGTACGCTGTTATGCATGTATGTACGCTGTTATGCATGTATGTACGCTGTTATGCATGTATGTACGCTGTTATCCATGTATGTACGCTGTTATGCATGTATGTACGCTGTTATGCATGTATGTACGCTGTTATGCATGTATGTACGCTGTTAATGCATGTGTGTGCATGCAGGTGGGAGAACCCCCTGATGGGGTGGATGCCAAAAGCGGACTCCATGGCATTTGTGGCCGTCTCAGCCTTTTCCTTCCACTCCAAGCAGGACACCACTGTCTCACTGCATGCATTGTGCCTCTTGATGTGCACATGCGTGGTCGCTCAGGTGGGAGAACCCTCTCATGGGGTGGACATCAACGGCAGACCCCATGGCATGTGTGGCGGACTCCGCCCTCTCCTTCCACTCCAAGGAAGACGCCGTTGACTTTGTTGAATGCCATGGCTGGCAATACCAGGTATTGAAAAGTACCAGGTGTGTGACAGTGCCAACTTTGTTGAACGTGCTAACATAGGTATTTGTTGGTATCAGGTACGAGGCAGCACCACCGGATATTCGGCAGAGTGGTGCCTGGGGTGGCATGAAGGTGGTTCGGGTTGTGTAAATGTCTACAGTGTCCATGACGCCATCATACTTGTTCCTCGTTCCATTCCCTTTGTCACGTGTTGTGTGCCATGGCTGACTAGTCTCTGCCTGGAATAACCTTTTCTTTCTTTCTTTCTTTCTTTTCCTCATGTCTCCTATGTGTTTTCAGGTCCTTGAGCCGCAGAAGCCAATTAAGAAGGTAAAACTGCATATGGTCTACACCTCACTACTCTTCTGCTCTCATAAAGCTTTAGACCCATTGCCCATTTCCCTGCACCCACAAAACATGGCACGCAGATTCTCTCATGCATGCTTGCTATTCCTTGTGCTCTCAAGATCCAGTGCCTACCACCTTTAACATGCATACGTATGGAATTTGTTCTTATTCCATCCCTTTATGCAGCCCAAATCATACGCGGACAACTTTCGCTGGAGGGGCCCTGCCACTGCTGACGAGTAGCTGCTTCTTTTATGCCTAAGAATTCTACGTTTTATGCTTTTCTTGGACACTCCACTCAGTTCTAGGTTATAGATTCGCTAGTAGTCCTTTTCGCACTGTGCAATTGTCTGCACTGTAGCGCATAGCTCTGCACCGCATGTTTCGAAGCGCGACCGCTACAAGCACCACCGCTCCAAACCAAGTGCCCAGGGCAGGTCCTGGTGGGGTTGGTTCTGGATCCTGATTGGCCACATCGCTCTGCCCCGCTCGCGATTCGGGGGCAAAATTTTCCCCCAGCAGGCAAGGCGCTGATCCTCCCCCACCTCCAACGACGACCACCCTTCCCCTCCTATACCTTCCGCTTCTAGATTAGCGACTCTCGTCCGCCTCCCCCGTACTAACCTAATTCGCGCCGCCCTCTTACTAGCCGCTGCGCAACGACGAACCTTGCAGTGATCGCGCCCAGCTAGTGCATTGCACCTGGTTCCTAGTCTCTGGAGCAGATGTGCGGTCTGTGATTGTTTGTTGTTCCGCGATTCCACGTGGCCGTCACTACGCCGTCCCGCTTACGCAGTATCTAACAGTGCCAACCGAAGTCGGCACACAACTATTGATTCTATCCCATTATTCGATGCCTCAACCTCGAAGCATGCAATGCGATGCGAGTAAGGCAGCCTCAAGTGGGCGCGTGTGCAGCACGCGCCATGGCTGCCGTGAGTGATAGGCTTTTTCGACAAGCGCTGCCGGCTCGTATGGTGCTTTCGAGGGCGCTACCTTGACTCGAGACACAGCCTTCAGTTGTCGCGTTCGTCACACAATGGGCCGTTTAGAGAGCTCCGCATTGTTACGCTCGGTTCCAGGCTGTCGTCGAAATTCGCGTGCAAGGGTCTCTCGTGGATTAAGTGCCTCGAGACTAGTTACGTAGTTACACTTCGCTTGTCGCAGCACCTTCAGACAGTAACCGCTGACCTGAACCACTCGTTAGCATGGTTGACGTGGCAGCGGCTGGGTCCCACAGCGCGCCGAGACAACGCAAGTCGTCTCGGCCGCGGCAACATCTCGTTGCCGGCTCGCCGCGATTCCGCCTCCGCCGATCCCTCCATTCCCTCCTCCTCCCCGTCTTCCTCTCCGCCGTCTTCTCCCCCGCCCCCCGGCAAATCTCCGCGAAGGCGCGGCCGCAGGGAGACCAATGCGCACTGCTGGCGGAGCAGCTGACGGCGACCGCGCGCGTCGTCCCCGGGACTGTCGGCGTGGGCTTCGCGACGCCGTCACAAGCAAAGCACTGCCTCCGCTCCTTCCGCTTCGTCGCGTCGCGCGATATCCCCGTTATAGACTCGATCATCAACGGTTTAGCAAACTTCTACGTATACAGACACGTCGCGATAAACTCTCCAGACCCGCGTCTCCCCAGCGACGTCGATATAGTGACCTACCTGCGCGCGATTCGTGAGAAAGCGTTGGCTGGAAAGGGGATTAAGAGCCTGATGCGGTTCCAGACATTAATCTACCGCGCGCTAATAAGTCTTAACGACGGGCACACGATGTTCAGCTCCGCGTGCTTCCACCGAACCGCGTCCTACTACCTCCCGCTGCCGCTTGTCGCTGTCGTCGAGGATGGTAACCAGATCATCCGCGTCGCGCCGTCCTCGCGTGAGTGCCGGCCTCCGCGCGCTTTTCCCCATTGCTCACTCTGCTCCCTCCCCCCTCTTCCAGCTAATACCCCGCACCCCTCGCCTTCACCATTTTTCCCTCCTTCCCCCAGTGCAGCTAGGAGGCCTTAATGTGGCAGCGTTAGTCCCCCATCAGTTTGACTACTACCGTTACGAGGGCGCGCAGGTGGTTACAACCGCCTCTCACTCCCTCCCACCCCTTTCCCCCCTCTCCCCCTCGTTTACTCTCCTCCATCCCGTGTTTTCCTCCACCTTTATCCAGTGCTGCTAGAAGGCCTCGATGTGGTAGCCTTGGTGCTGCATCAGTTTGGCTACCACCGCCACTCGGGCGCGCAGGTCGCCACCAGCCCCCCTTACACCCATTCCCGCCCAACCCGCCTTCCGCCCTCCCCTCTATCTGGTGCTCCTACAAGGCTTGGACGTGGCCGCACTGGTGCTGCATCAGTTTGACTGCTACCGCTACGAGGGCGCGCAGGTGACCACCATCAACGGCACGTTTTCCCCTCCCCTTCCCCCACCTCCCCAACCCGTTCCTGCACCCTTTCCCCCTCTTCCTCCAGTCCTCCTAGAAGGCCTAGACGTGGCGGCACTGGTCCTCCATCAATTCGACTACTACCGCTACGAGGGCGCGCAGGTCACCACCATCAATGGCGCCCCCGCCATGGACTACCTGTTAGAGTGGGCGGCGCGCTACGTTGGGCAGTACCGCGACTCGGGCGTGCGCTTTAACCTGCTCTTTGCGAGGCGGGTTGTGTCGAAAGCGACAGGCGCGGTGATTGCGACTCAGGGCGCATTCGCACAGCGGAGCCTGGCGCCCACGAATGATAGTGTTGTGGTGGAGCTGATACTGGCGTGAGTGGAGGCGTTGGGTGGGGTGGGAAGGGGTCGGGAGGGGTCGGGAGGGGTGGTGTTGGTTTGCAGTTGGGTTTGGGCATGGGGCAAGGGCCAGCTGACACAGAGGAGCCTGGCACCAGCATATGACAGCATTGTGGTGGAAGTGCTGCTGGCGGGAGTTGCGGGGTGAGCTCTGGGGATGGGGTATTTGTTCTTTCTTGTGAGGTTTAGGGGCATGCGGGTGTGGGGCATGGGGGTGTGGGGCAGTGGGTATGGGCATGCTGATGTGGGGCATGCATGGGGTATGGACATGGGGTGTGGACATGGGGTGTGGACATGGGGTATGGACATGGGGTATGGACATGGGGTATGGACATGGGGTATGGACATGGGGTATGGACATGGGGTATGGACATGGGGTATGGACATGGGGTGTGGACATGGGGTATGGACATGGGGTGTGGACATGGGGTATGGACATGGGGTGTGGACATGGGGTGTGGACATGGGGTATAGGGCATGCGCTATTCCACAGCCTTAATCCCCCTTAACCTTTGCTGCCTTTCTCTCATGTACTCCCACTCTCCCTCTCCCTCCCTCCTGCGTTTCCCCCCCCCCCTCCCCACCGTGACATCACAGCACGAGCGCCACGCCAGTGCAGGTAATAGTGCCGTGGGTTGCAGTGCTGCCGACCAATTTCGACTCCTCCGCCTCCTACTGGACGGCAAATTGTGCCATTCCTCGCCAGCCCACCGCTTCGGCTGCTTCTGCTTCTGCCTCTGCTACTGCAGAGGGTGCCTCTGCTGGTGCTGGGGGAGCTAGGGGAATAGGGGCAGCAGAGGGTGCTGTGGGGGCGCGCAGCATGGGAAGAGGGGAAGAGTTGGCGCTGATGGCGGATAGGGGAAAGGGGGGGGATGCTGGGGACACGGAGAAGGAGTGGGAGGGGGAGCGGTGGGGGGAGAGGGAGCGGGGGGAGGGGGGCAGGGGAGAAGAAAGAGGGGACGGTAGGGTGAGGCGGCCTGGGCCATTGCTGAGTGAGAGGCTTAAGAAGAGAGCTCGAGGCATGGGGGCTTGGGTTTCACAGGACGCAGCAGAGAGCTCCGAGGAAGCGGAGAGCACATTGAGAACAGAGAAAGGAGCAGAGAGAAGAGAGAGTTCAGGGAACGGAGTAGAGAGTGCAGCGAGCACAGGCGGGACAGAGGGCACAGAGAGAGGAGCAGAGAGCACAGTAGGAGCAGTGGGATGGGGCAGCAGTCGCGCAGGGATGGGCGACAGCAGCAGGGAGAGAGCGTCTGGATGGCCGACTCTGGCTGTGGAGTTCCCAAGGCCCGACCTTGACCCCCGCCCCTCCCTGCTCCGCCCCCCTCCCCCACCCCCTGCCGCCCCCCTGCTGCTCCAGTCCCAACACCAGGCAGCGGCTGCTGCTGCTGCTGACTCTGCTGAATCTGCTGAATCTGCTGAATCTGCTGACTCTGCTGCCTCTGCTGACGCTGGTAGTAGTGCTGCTGCTGCTGCTGCTGCTGCTGCTGACTCTGCTGCCTCTGCTGACGCTGGTAGTAGTGCTGCTGCTGCTGCTGCTGCTGACTCTGCTGCTTCTGCTGACGCTGGTAGTAGTGCTGCTGCTGCTGCTGCTGCTGCTGACTCTGCTGCCTCTGCTGACGCTGGTAGTAGTGCTGCTGCTGCTGCTGCTGCTGACTCTGCTGCCTCTGCTGACGCTGGTAGTAGTGCTGCTGCTGCTGCTGCTGCTGACTCTGCTGCCTCTGCTGACGCTGGTAGTAGTGCTGCTGCTGCTGCTGCTGCTGCTGCTGCTGGCGGTGACGGGCGTGCCTCGTCAGTGCCAGCGCCGAATGACCTCCCAGGGGCGCAAAAATTGTCCACCGCAACAGCACTGATTCCCGTGAGTGCTGGGTGTGTTGGTGCACGTGGTACCATGCATGCGCGTCCTGTGCCCACAGCAGTAGTACCATGCTGTGCATTATGCATTGTCATGCATATCCTGCCCACTGTGCCCACAGTAGTAACTTGCCGTGCTGTGCAGTCCCGCAGAGTAATGCTAGTCATGCATATCCTGCCCACTGCACCTCATCCACCACCCCTTCACCTCACCCTCCAGGTCTACCTGCTAGCAGACAACGCCACAGCAGTCATCTCGCTGGGACAAATCATCTCATCCCTGGTCCTCCTCTCCCTCTTTCTCTTCACCCTCCCCCTCCCCTTTCCGCTTCCCCCCTCCCCCAGGTATACCTGCTAGCAGACAACGCCACGGCGGTCATCTGGCTGCACACCTTCCTGCCAGCATTGGACGGCTCAGATGAAGCCCTCATCGCCTTCCTGCTCACCGAGATCTCCACAGCCGTTGATCTCGCCAACCAGTAAGTTCATTATCCTGTTCCCTCCAGCCCCCTTCCCCCTCCCCCCATCTAATCCCCGGCGTCCGTTTTTGCTTGTTAACCACATTTCCAGGTAACTCAAAGCTTCCTCCTTGTTCTTCCCTCCCCGCACTCTTCCCCTCCCTCCTCCTTTCTCGTTTTCTCCCTGGCACGGCACGCGCATCGGCATGGATGTGAGTGGCAGCGGCGGTGGTGGTTATGCCAACATCGCAGACCTGCCAACATCGCATACCTGCCAACATCGCATACCTGCCAACATCGCATACCTGCCAACATCGCATACCTGCCACGGTGCCTCATTGCCGATGTTATCTCATTCCCATTCGCGCTCTTCCTCCCTCCTTCCCCCCCCCCCCCCCCCCTCTTCCTCCCCTTACAGACACGGCAAGCGTATACTAATGGACGTGAGTGGCAACGGTGGGGGCTACGCAGACATAGCCTACCTCCTGCTGCGCCTAGTGGCCGGCAAGCACAAGGCCCCCAAGGGCCGCGTGCAGATGCCGCAGCAGCTGCTCATCTCCAATGCGTTCATGCTCTCACTGCTGGACAAGCAGCTCACCTCGTTCTACCAGTGGGACAAGTACGTGAGGGTCGACGAGACCACTCCGGTGAAAAGCGCACGCGATTTCAAGCCGTTTCAGGAGGAAACGTTTTCGCCGGACGGGCAGCCCGGAGTGTACTCGGGGTTGTTTAAACTCGCCACGTTTCCCGGGCTCGAGAAGGTGCCGTTTCGCGGCCCGGTGTTTGGGACCCGGCCGCTCGTTATAGTCACAAACGGGAACTGCTTCTCGGCCTGCGCTATCTTCACACACAATCTCCGGAAGCGGTTCAATGTGAAGCATGTGACTGTAGGGGGGGTCTTGGGTCAACCCCTCGGGATCAGTGCGTCGTGCATGGGAGCGACCATGCCATCTTTAGAAACCGGAGTGACTAACTTCCTAACCGGGACGAAACTTGCCGACCACCCGCGCGCGCCGAAGCCGTTTCCTTATAATGTGGTGCAAGGGGTGGCGGTGGTACAGGGGTATGTGGAGGATAAAGTGCCGTGCGAATATGTTTTTCTGCCCGGGGACCAGCATGTTGACCTGACCATGGATAAGGTGGCGAACCCTGCTCTTGTGTGGACAGAGGCCTCCCAATACTTCTAATGTGATATGCTTTTATTCACCAGCAGTTGTTACCAGTTCCAGGCTGATTTTCAGGTGCTTCAAAAGTAAGCCCTGCAGCAATGGTGTGGGAAGAGACATGTAACTCTCATGGTACATGCCAACTCAACACTTGTGGAACTCCATTCGCCTGCTACCAGTAGGCAGTTGCTGGGCTGCAGCACAGCGATGCCCAGTGCCCAAGGCACACACGCTTGTGACACTTGACTCTAAATCTGACAAAGCGAATTGAAGATCAGTGCTCTTTTCAGATCGGATTGCTCTAGATAACATAATGTAAAGTCAAAACTGGTGATGCAAGTTATACAATAGCGCCACATGACAATCCAGGTACAGGCACAAACACAAAAACCAGCACAAGCCCTACAAAACACCTGCACTTATTGCAGGCAAGGTTTGTTCACAAGAGCTACCATAGTATAATGCTAGGATGTGCAGAGGGGTGCTAAGGAGTGCAGAGGTGTAGCGTTTAGGTGATGACAGTGGGCTTGTCGCGGCCGGTGAACTCTTGGAGCTTCGACACTGACAGAGCAATGTCTGCATGCAGGGGGAAAAGGTAGAAGAAAGCACACATGCGTTTAGCTCGTTCGTGCTCGAGTGGGAGGTGCACGGGGAGGTAGGCAGAAAGGCATCAAGGCAACCAGGAAGGGAGGAAGTCTGGTGGGCAAAGAGGCAGGCAGGTAGGCAGGGAGGCAGGAAGGGCTACCGAGTGAGGTCCAAGAGGCAGGTGCGGCTCACCGATGAGGGGCTTGAGGGCCTCCTGGGCGTCAAGGCCGTGGCGGGCCACGTCTGGCTCGTACTGCTCCACATACACACGGATGGTGGCGCCTGCACTGCCCGTGCCCTGGTAGATAGATACATGCATGAGGAGAAGTGAGTATGGAGGGAGGGGGGCATGGGTGCATGGGATAGAGGTAGGAAGTACTGGCACACGTCCGGCTCATACTGTTCCATGTACACCTGGATGGTGGCTCCTGCTCTGCTCGTGCCCTGATGTGATTCGAGAGAGGATGGGTGGGTGAGAGGATGGTGGCATGGGTGGACGGTTGCATGTCATGCAGAATAAGCATTGGCACAGAGAGGCGTGCAAGCAGAGAGGGCGGGGCAAGGACCGCGCAGGCCCGTGACCATAAGGGCTGAGGTGCAGTGAGAGTGGTGCTTGTAGTGCAAGGCCCCAAGGGCGCGGCAGTGAGGGCGCGGCAGTGAGGGCGCGGCAGTGAGGGAGGTACAGAGGGGGAGGTGCAGAAGGGGAGGTGCAGAAGGGGAGGTGCAGAAGGGGAGGTGCAGAAGGGGAGGTGCAGAAGGGGAGGTGCAGAAGGGGAGGTGCAGAGAGGGAGAGCAGGGCACGTACGGAGAGGCGGAAGATGATCTGGGAGCCGTCAGTGAGGACGAAGCGGATGATTGTTCTGTGCAGTGAGTGTTCAATACGCGTGACAGTGAGTGCTGAGCAGTGATCGTGAGCAATAGTGTGAGCAGTGAGCGCAGGGCAGAGGCACGTACGGAGAGGCGGAAGATGATCCGCGAGCCGTCGGTGAACACAAAGCGGATGCCCTGCTGGCTGGCAACGCTGCCGTCCACGGGGTCCGTGTACTCAAAGTCGTCCGCTAGCGCCAGCTCGTAGGCACCTGGGGTGAGATAGAGGGGCGTGGTTTGGTTAGAGAGGGGGAGATGAGAGGCAAGGAAGCGGATGCCCTGCTGGCTCGCCACGCTCCGTCCACGGGGTACGTGTACTCAAAGTCGTCCGCTAGCGCCAGCTCGTAGGCACCTAATGGGGGCAGCGGGGAAGATTATGGGGAGGGATGAGGGGAGGAATTGAATAGGGGGGTTGATGGTGAGTTGATGGTGAGTTGATGGTGAGTTGACGGTGAGAAGGGGAGGGGAAGAGGCACATACCAGCTCTGAGGAGGGCACTGCCAGTGCCTCGTGCCTTAATCGGAATGTCTGGCATTGCACATGCGTGGCTATCACGACATTCATTGGATGACGCATAGGAACCAAAACTGGTGAAGGTGGTTAGTTGGTTTGTGGTGATTCGTCTTGTTGCTATCCTTGTGCCTTCCCGTGCCCTGCCCCGTCACTCTTTTCTCACTCTCCCTCTTTGCTTTCCCCCATATGCCCCCCCTCTCCTCACCACACCTAACAGCTTCTCAACGGATTTATTTCTTCCCCCTCCCCCTCACCGCACCCAACCGCGTCTCACCGTATTTATCTCCGGGCTTGGCGGCCGCAATGATCTCCCGCAGGTGCGCCACCATGGCGTTCGCGCCCTCCGACGCGCACTCCTCGTAGTCGTACCGCGAGAAGAAGTTCCGCCCGTACTTCGCCCAGTGCTCACGCGCCACGTCACCCACCGACACGAGCTTCCCGCCAACCGGCACGTCCTTGTTGCGATACGCGAGGATCGACAGCCACGCGAGCACGGCCCACAGCCCGTCCTTCTCTCGGATATGATCCGATCCGGTTCCGAAGCTCTCCTCGCCGCAGATGCTCAGCGTTCCCGCGTCCATGAGATTCCCGAAGAACTTCCACCCGGTGGGGACCTCGAAGAAGGGGAGATTGAGGCCCGTCGCGACGCGGTCGAGCGCGGCGGAGGTGGGCATGGAGCGCGCGAGGCCCTTGGGGCCGGCGGCGAAGTACGGAATGGCGGCTTGCGCGTTGGCGGCGATGATCGCGACGGAATCGGACGGCGTGATGAAGAAGTTGTTCCCGAGGATCATGTTGCGGTCGCCGTCGCCGTCCGATGCGGCGCCAAAATCCGGCGCATCCGGGCCGTACATGATCTTCACGAGCTCCTCCGCGTACGTCAGGTTCGGGTCGGGGTGGCCGCCGCCGAAGTCCTCGAGCGGCGTGCCGTTGATGATTGCCGACTCGGGCGCGCCGAGCGCGTCGACGAGGATGGGCTTGGCGTACGCGCCGGTCACGGCGTGCATGGCGTCGAACTTGAGCGAGAAGTCGGGGCGCGTCACGAGCGCGCGGATCATGTCGAAATCGAACACTTGCTGAGATGGGAAAAGGGGAGGAAGGGCGCAGGGGGGAGAGGAGGGGAAGAGGGGGAGGGGGAAAATGGGGGACGGCGATGGATGGTGGAAGGTGTTAGAAATGGAGGGGAAGGGGAATGGATGTGAGGCGGTGCAGCAGCAACAGCAGCGTGTGGAGAGTGGAAGCTGTGGATTGAGTAGGGAAGGAGACGCGCGTTGGGAATGTGTACATTTTTTTTGTTTTGTGGTTTGCAAAATTAACGTGCGAGCGGCGAGCAGCGAGCGGCGAGCGGCGAGCGGCTAGAGGCAAGCGACTGAGCGGCGTACCTTGAAGAGCTCGAGATAGTCGGCGACGGGGTCGACGACCTCCACCTCGAACGACCCCGCGGCGAGCGGGGTACGTTGGAAGACCAAGGGGCGAGAGGTCATGAAGGGTGGAGCGGCGTACCTTGGAAGAGCTCGAGATAGTCGGCAACGGGGTCGACGACCTCCACCTCGAACGACCCCGCGGCGAGCGAGGTACGTTGGAAGACCAAGGGGCGAGAGGTCATGAAGGGTGGAGCGGCGTACCTTGAAGAGCTCGAGATAGTCGGCAACGGGGTCGACGACCTCCACCTCGAACGAGCCGAACTTGGTGGTGCCGAGCTTCGCCAGGTCCACGTCGGGGATGTCCGCCTGCTTGATCTCCTTGATCTGCGGAGGGGGAAAGGTGGAGGGGAGTGAAGGGGGGGTTGGGTAAGGGAGGAGGTTGAGACGCGCAGAGGAAGAACAGGCGGGGACACTGGCAAAGCGATGTAACAGCGCATTGGCGACGTGGGCGAAACGGGCAGCTGAAGCGCCTCTTATGGCGAGCGTGTGGCGGAAGCGGGTACGTACGGAGAGCGTGTTGCCGTAGATCTTGTCGGTGATGGACTCGGGCGCGGGCTGGCCGCTGCTGTAGTTGAACTTGATGCCCCAGTCGTACTTGGGCCCGCCGGGGTTGTGGCTCGCGCTCATGATGAACCCGCCGTACGCCTGCACGCGCGCACCACGCACAAAAAGGGGACGCGTACGGGGGACGCGCACGGGGGGGGGAACAAGAATGATATAATCAGCACAAAAATCGGGTTCATAGCCCGATTTCGCATTAGTAGCTCACTTTAAACGGCCTGTGAAATCGTGACATATAAGCACATTTTCCCGTGCGGTGCCATGCCATGTCATGCCATGCCATGCCATGCCATGCCATGCCATGCCATGCCATGTCATGCCATGCCATGCCATGCCATGCCATGCCATGCCGTGTGCTTGCTCTCACCTTCTGCTTGCGGATGACGGCCGACACGGCGGGCGTGGACATGATGCCGTCCCTGCGCGCAAAGAGAGCGGAGAGCACGGGGGGGGGGGGGGGGAAACGGGAGGTGAGAGGAAGCAGGGAGGACAGGCACGGCGACGATGACGCAATGATTCCGGTCAAGGAACATGAGCGGGGTGGAAGAGGGGAACGGGTGGCGGGTCAGACGAGAGGGTGGCGAGCAACAGAGGGAGAAACAAGAAATAAAGAAAAAGAGTAATGGGTGGGACGAGAAGAAGGGTACGGTACGCACTTGCCGACAAGAATCTTCCCGACGCCGTTACCGGCGGCGATCTTGATGATTTCCTGCGCGGCCTCGCGGTTAAAGTAACGGCCATCGCCGCCCAGCACGAGCAGCGAGCCCTTGACGTCCTCGGCGGGCAGCGAGTCGAAGAGCGCCTGGATCCAGTTGGCGAGGTAGTGCGGCTCCTGAAACACCTTCACCTTCTTGCGCAGCCCGCTCGTCCCCGTCTTCTGCCCCTCGATCGGCGTCGTCGGCACCGCCTTAACTTCGAATCCCTCCACGGCGGCGCCCGCGCTCGCGCGCACCGTCATGGGGTTGGCGGGCTTGGCGCGCTGCGCGCGCAGGCTGCGGACGGCCACGCGGGGCTCGGCCTTGAGGCCTGAGTGGGACGGCAGCGAGCTGGCCGAGCGCGCGGCGGCGAGGGAGGCATCGCACAGAAGCGACGCGGAGTGGGCGATGGCAGCCATGGCGTCGTTGGAGGAACGAGCAGGGGGGAAAAAAAATCCTCTCCTGTAGTTTGGGTACGACTCGGAGCAACTGAAGTGATGAATTTGATTTATCTGCTATGAGATGCCTTCGCTTCCCCTGGCTGGATTCTCACGTTCCCCTATTCGCACCTTCAGCTGCCAGCCACAAACGCGAAGCGCGTCTGCTGGATGATTGTGGCTTTGTTGGACAATGGGGTGTTTGGCTCGGTGGTGTGGGCTTGCCACGTCGGATTTAGGGAATGGTTTGAGTATAATGCCACGCTGGAATGGGAGCTTGACAACTGATCCGGGCCAGCAAGAGATTCCGCATGACTGCTGGAGAAGAGCCCTGGATCATAGATCGAGCCAGCAATTACGCCACGCGTCAGCGAATGCTGTGGTGGTCTCCGCCTCGCTGGGTCTGACTGGCCATTGCCACGTCAATTACTTCTGGTCGAAGTACTCACTCTACCAACCTCCCCGTTATCAACATAACACTGGTGTAGCAAAGCACATTTTTTCTGTGTATTGTATGATTTTCAAAGTTGCACCAGATCTCTGACTAAGTCAGCGGCAAAGGAAGTTCATGAGACACAATCTTGCAGGCTGCAGCCAACGACATCCGATTTCTGAGCGACTAGATCGACGGTTATAGCACTCAGCTTCTGGATGCTCATTTTGACGTGGTTAGCTTCTCGTGATTGGCCCACGAGAGTAATATCGACGGCTGAGTGGCTGTTTCGACTTTGGCGCCAAAACCAGTTCCAGCTGTGGTCGTCCCTCGGGCTTGGCTTGAGAACAAGTTTCTAGATGCACCGAGCCAACCAACTAACCAACTTCTGTACCGATCCTTTCCCCGCCAGCTGCGAGATCCTCTTATGTAATCCAGACTTGAATTTGCATTTCGTTACTTCGACGGGTTGAATCTCCTAGCTTAGAGACAATGGCGCAGGCTCTTCGACTTGTGTGCCTCCTGGCTCTCTGCCTAGCTGTCTCAGCCAAGGTTTACTTCGAGGAGAAGTTTGACGGTAGGTGCTTTAGTGATTAATGAGTGCGATATGTCAGAACTGGCTCTATGCCACAATCCCCTAGTTCCTTGAGATATCTGGAGAGATCTGAGCACGTTATCTTACCATTGTGCAGATTCATGGGAGTCGAGGTGGGTAGTGTCCGACTGGAAGAAGTCGGAGGGAGCCGCGGGAGAATGGAAGCACACCGCTGGAAAGTACTACAAGGATCCCGAGGACAAAGGTAAGCTTCTTACTTTCTTTGAGTAAGCTGTTTTGGACGTAAGCAAAGATTGAACCGCATTAACGGACACTTTCTTGACGCAGGTATCCAGACGCACCCCGACGCCCGGTTCTTCGCCATTTCCGCCAAGATCGAGGAGTTCGACAACAAGGACAAGGACCTCGTTCTTCAGTTCCAAGTGAAGCATGAGCAGGATCTTGATTGTGGTGGTGGCTACATCAAGCTCCTGGAAGGAGAGGTTGATCAGAAGAATTTCGGTGGCGACACTCCTTACAGGTTCGATCCTGTCTTATTGTTCTTCGATTTCTCGTAGCTAGAGGAAAACAATTCAACATCTTGCCCCTTTCGTGTATGCAGCATCATGTTCGGCCCTGACATCTGTGGTTACTCGACTAAGAGGGTCCACGCCATCATCACCCACGAGGGCAAGAACATGTTGATCAAGAAGAACGTGGAGTGCGAGACCGACACACTCTCCCACGTCTACACTTTCATCCTGAGCCCCAACAACACCTACAAGATCCTTATCGACAACGTCGAGAAGTCTGGCGGTGACATTTTTGCGGAGTGGGATTTCCTGAAGCCTCGCCAGATCCCCGACAAGTCCGTAAAGAAGCCCGAGGACTGGGTTGACGACGAGTACATGGATGATCCCGAGGACAAGAAGCCCGAGGTACGTTTCAACAGTTTAACTTCTCAGATTTCAATCACTTGTTTTATTTTTCATCTATGATACCCTAATTCCTGGTTTTGCCAAATTCCATCCATTGTACAGGGCTGGGATGACATCGCCGCCGAGATTGTGGATCCCGAGGCTAAGAAGGTGAGCGTTTTGGTCGTTACAATGTTTGAACACTTGCGAGAATGCGAAGCCACAGGCACATACTATACTACAAAGAAGGAACACGGTTGACTAATCTGTGTCATACTGCATGCCATGCCTTTGCTTTCAGCCTGAGGACTGGAACGATGAGGATGATGGTGAATGGGAGGCTCCTCTTATCCCCAACCCCGAGTACAAGGGCGAATGGAAGCCCAAGGTACGCTCCGCGTGTAGCCCTTGGATACGAAATGGATTTCGGTTCTCGGTTCTGATGTCCTAGGCGCAAGATTTTGCGACCTAAGCTAGTTCCAAATGGCTTGCCGCTCTTTGGCTTATTCTCCCGCAGAGGATCAAGAACCCTGCGTACAAGGGCAAGTGGAAGCCTCCTATGATTGACAACCCTGGTAAGTTCGAATGGATTGTTTTTAACTGGTTACGAGTATCCATAGAATTGAATTTAACTTGCAAACGCAATTCAATGTTGCAGACTTCGTGGAGAAGCCAGAGGCCTATCGTCTACCACCCCTGCGCTATGCTGGCTTTGAGATCTGGCAGGTGTGTGTTTTATGCCGTTCTCGAGCTATTGCAGACTCCCGTACAGGCAGTTGTGCAAATGACTGTACACGCACGTTCGTTGCAGGTCAAGGCAGGCACCATCTTTGACAACATCCTTGTCACTGATGATGCCGAGTATGCTCGCAAGTTCGCCGAGGACACCTGGGGCGCCATGAAGGCGGTAAGTGCAGACACTGCGCATGCGTATTGAGGGTTAAGGGTGTTGCCAAGTGGGGTTTGTTCAAGGCAGTGCTAACTTTTTATGCGCATTTGGTCAATGCAGGAGGAGAAGAAGATGCATGATGAGGCCGAGAAGTCTAAGGAGGAGGAGGAGAAGGAGGATGACGCTGGGGATGATGATGCTGATGATGAGGTGAGCAATTCATTACGCTGTAGTTTTCAATTAATGCTGGCGGATTTTGTTGGAAGGTGGAGCTACAATTGTGACTGAAAGGATACTGCCTCACACTTGATTTCAGGATGATGCTGAGGCTGAGGCTGAGGCTGCGGAGGATGCTGCAGACAAAGAGGATGAGGCGGAAGCCAAGGAGGAAGCCGAGGTAAGTCGTTTGTCATGCGACTCTCCACGTCACTCTATTACCACACTCGGCACCCACTGCTCTGCTACCTTTCCCATTGTGAATATTATGCTCACAGAATGTTATGCTCTCTGACCCTAATTGTGCCTGTTGTGTTGATCACTTGTTGCAGGAGGCTGCCCATGATGAGCTCTGAGCTGCTTTGTTTATCTGATTAGGGTATGCACTTGGGGAACACGTCCCTGCTAGCAGTCAATGAGCTTGGAGGCCGACTTGTTAGCATTTTGATACCTGAATTGATAGTTGAATTTTTACACAATGACTGTTGTTAGCCACAATCTGTTCACTGGCTATGGCGTTATCTGGGTGTAGAAGATGCCATGGGATTCAATTAGATGGCAAACTTACCAACCGGTTGAAGCAACAGCGAATCTTGTATGCTCAACCATTGCTCAAAATTCGAGACCTAGACGCAACATTTGTGTACTACACCCATCATAGATGGAATTGTGCCTAGCACAGACGCTCAAATGTTATGGGATAACGAGCATATACTCTACTCGTGACTTCAAGCACTTGCAACTGCACTCTGTCATAAATCATAATGGTCCTTGATACCATCCACGACCAGTGTCAAGTTTGCAAAATTAAACGGCCTAAACGACCTAATGCACACGGTTTAATTTGTTGATTCAGGGCACTATAAACCAGCAAACCATAAGGTGGCAGTTCCGTCAACATGCGATGTGACAAAGGTGGATGTTCTTGCAACGATGCCAGACACCCCAGCTGCTGCTCTTCCTGACACCCCTCTACCACTCACACCAGCAGCTGCCCCATTTTCCCCTATTGAATCATGCACCCCCCTGCTGCCCCTACCCACCTGCCTCAGCCCACCCAGGCTCTGCTCTTTCTCTTCTCCCCCTTCTCTCATGTCCTGCCCCGACCCTGACCTCATTAATCCTTCTCCCTCTCCTGCCCCACCATACCCATCCACCTCAACTGCAACCCCTGCCCCGCTGCCCAGCGCCAGCTCAGCGAGTGGCGGGCGGCGCAGGCGGCGAAGGGGAGTGAGGGAGGTGGCATCCAGGATTTGGACCAATCCCGTGGCGCCAGCTGTCAGCAGGACAGGCGGGAGTGCGAGTGGGAAGGAGGGGAGGGCGAGTGTGGTGTGGGTGGGGGGAGAGATGGCAGTATCCATGAGTACGCGAGACGGGGACCTGAGGGGGCGGGGGAAGGCGGGGGAGAGAGAAGGAGAGAGTGGCATTGTTGAGAATGAGCTGCAGGGGGTGCGAAGACCAATGGACAGCTCCACTGACTTCCTATGGTCCCATACGCTCTGGTGGTGCTTGCATCCACCCCACCAGAGGTCCCACACTCGCAGGTGCTTGCACCCAGCTGACCTGATACGGGAACTCTCAAAACACCCACCAGAGGTCCCACACTCGCAGGTGGCCCGATGCCGAAGCCGCCATCACTCGGTTTCTCGGCGCGGAGAGAAGCACGGAGGTCACTGCAGGGGGGGTGGGGGGATGCCATGGTAACATAATAACAGGTTGCCATTCCCAAGCCTGCTCAATAAAACGCATGAGACCCTGCAGAACTGACTATCGACTGGCATGCATTAGCAGCGGGTAGCTGGGGAGGGTGGTACTCAACGCAGTGCTACACGGAGAGAGTGTTATTCAGCAGCGGTCTACCTGGGGAGGGGTCGGTAAAGAGCAGGGTGTGCAGTTGCAGCGATGAGCGGCAGTCAGTAAGACGAACCGTGCCGTCCGTGCCGCCTGACAGCAGCAGCCCCATGGTGGCACTGTAGCTCATGGCTGCCGCCCCGCCACGCGCCCGAGCGTGTGGGCGGAGGATGTGGGTGGTCGTGCCGCTGTATATGTCGTACACATGAACAGTGCCGTCGCTGCATGCTGCTAGCAGGTCCGTGTCATCATAACTGCGTGCGTTTGTGCACATATGCATGTGGGCAGAGAGGTGAGAGGGGTGAGAGAGGTGAGAGGGGTGAGAGAGGTGAGAGAGTGTTATGCAGGCGTGCACAAGGGCAGGGAAGCGGCCGCAGCAGATCTGATCTGATCCACTCACAGCCACGCCAGATCTGATTTGATCCGATCCGCTCACCTAATTGTGCGAACGCGCTGGTGGTGGCCACCAAAGCTTCTGAGCAGCTTCCTGGTCTCCTTGTTCCACGCAAATACCTGCGTGCCCGATGCTGCCAGCACCTGGGGAGGTGGGGTGGAGAGGAGAGCTGAGTGCGGTGAGAGAGATGAGAGAGGAATGGAGGGAAGAAGGAAAACAGAGAACATGGGAGGCGGAGGAGGGATAGAGCTAGCACACATGTCAAATGGCTCTGCTGGGCTGGGAGACTACCGTAGACGGCCATGGGCATGGGCCCATCAACGGCTCACCATTATGTCTGTCAGATCAACGGCTGTGACGGGCTGAGAGGCTGGAGAGGGGAAGCAAGCTGTCTGACGACAGGCAGGCGGGGAGGAGGGCGAGGAGGAGGCAGAAAAATGCGCGGCTGGGAGAGCGGGGAGTGCAGGAAACTGCCACAGTCGCACACACTGCAGGGGAGGAGGAGGAGGAGGAGGAGGAGGAGGAGGAGGAGGAGGAGGAGGAGGAGGAGGAGGAGGAGGAGGGCATAGAGGAAGAGGCGCACAGGGACATGGGAAGCAGAGAGCATACTGGAATGGGAGGAGGTGGTATCTGAAGGCCGGTCAACGGCACAGCACAGAAAACGAATGCAAACGGTGCGACATGGTAACGCATGGTTGGACACGGTACGAGATGGTAAGACGATAGTGCACTGGGCATGTGTGCACGTAACACACTAGGCAAGTGCACAGGAGGGTGGGTGGTGCGCATGTGTGTGTGGATGGGGGAAGGATGTGGGGGAGACATGCGTGTGTGTGAAAATCTGGGAAGAGGGGTGTGGGTGTGGGGGGTTGCAGGGTTTACATCGTCTGAGCCGCCAGTGGCCACGACGCCATGCCGCATTGCCACACTGCCCACCCTGCCATGGTGCACCACGCATGACAGAGCACAGCGGAACAGGGGCACGGCGGAGGGGGGAGGGGGGAGGGGGGAGGGGGCAGGGGCAAGGGACATGGCTTTCATGGGGGCCAGTGAGGGCAAGCACAAGGAGCATGGAATGAAACGGAATGTCGGGGAGGGGGAAGAGGAAGGGGCGCAGTGAAGGGAATGGGAAAAGAATCAAGACCGTGCATGTGTGCATGCGCTCATGTGCATCAGCTGTGCCTCATGCTCACTCCCCCTCACCTCCCCTTTGTACCCCTCCGCTCTTCCCCCCTCACCTCACCTCCCTCACCCCTCGTCTTCCCCACCTCCCCCCACCTCCCCCCACCTTCCCTCACCTCTCCTCACCTCCGCTCACCTGCCTCTTGTGTGGCCGCGCATCACACACACCCTCACTTCCCCGCGCCCGTAGCGCCTCCTCTGCTCCGCGCCCACCGCCATCGCCACGGCCGCGCGCACGCCCTCACTCCCCATCCCCTCCACCTCCTCTCCTCCACTTCCCCCCTCCGCGCCCTCCTCCCCTCTTCCCGGCACCCTTGCCCCGCCCGCACTCTCCGCCTTCCCGCCCCTCTCCTCTGCTCCCCTCCCCGCTGATCCCTTCTTTTCGCCTCCGCCCGACCTATTCCCCCCGTTACCCGCGCCTCCGCCACTTTCTTCCGCATTTCCGCGCCCCGCGTTCCCCCCTTCAGCTCCCTCCGTGGCGATATCTGCCCCAGCACGTGCCCTATCGGCAAGCGCCACTTGTCGCTCCACCACGCGCTGCCACAGGTGGCGCGAGGAGCTGATGACGTGGCACCACTCCGCGCACACGAGGCGCGCGCGCAGCAGCAGCAGCGGGTCCAGCAGCGCCAGCACGCCCGCCAGCAGCTCCCCGTGCATCGGAAACGGGGGCGTGGAGGGGGAAGCGCTAGCGGAAGAGAGCTCTGTCCGCGGGCAAGCGCGCGGTCGGCGGGACATGATTGCAGCGCAATTGGGACAGGGATGAGAACAGAGGCGAACACAAGGAAGTTGCAAACTTTTGATGTAAAAAGTTCTGGAAACCTGAGACAAACAAAAATTTTTGTACACCTTGCGGCTCAGTTATCTCAACTAATGCCTGGAATTTAGCTGGTAACTCGCACCAGCAATCCTGCTTCCGCCACGTGCTCATCCGTTATTCGTCGCATGGCTGGCGTCGCGACTAGAACTGCAATTTCTCTTGGGCCAACATCATATACATGCAACACATTCTGGTAACCCTATTCGATTGTATGCAAAACCGTCGGGGCCTTTGGTGTGCTACGCAAAATTGTCTCCTTCCGCCACTCACCACACTGCTGTACAGTTGAAACAGTACAGAACACTGACACACCACACATGCAGCTCTCGCACGAAGTCGCCATCAAACCCAATCAGTCGCAAACACCCCCCCCCCCGCCCCACAAACAAGGATGGGGGAAAAGGAAAGGGAAGGGGGTGTTGGGGGAAAAAGGGGAGGGGGGGGGCGGGGGGTTTGGTGGCGCGAGCGCGAACCTGTGCGGGATGAGGGATTCTGTGCGGAAAGGAATTCCGCACAGGTTCGCGCTCGCGCCACCAAATCCCCCGCCCCCCCCCCTCCCCCTTTTTCCCCCAACACCCCCTTCCCGTTCCTTTTCCCCCATCCCTGTTTGTGGGGCGGGGGAGTGTTTGCGACTGGTTGGGTTTGATGGCGACTTCGTGCGAGAGTTGCATGCGTGGTGTGTCAGTGTTCTGTACTGTTTCAACTGTACAATCGTGTGGTGAGTGGCGGAAGGAGACAATTTTGCGTAGCACACCAAAGGCCCCGACGGTTTTGCATACAATCGAATAGGGTTACCAGAATGTGTTGCATGTATATGATGTTGGCCCATTTCTCTTCGTTTCTCGACATGGCAATTGCAACGGCCCGAACCATTCGATGCTCAGCTAATCCTCACCTCATTCCTCCACATCCCTCCTTGCTTGCCTCTTCCCCGCTCTCAAAAATGTCTCGTCCTCTAGTTTCCCATCCACTCCGATTTGCATTCACAGCAGGCCGCTCTTGTTCGACTCGCGATCTGGTTACCCACCCAAGCACCTTCCACGAAAGCGGCGAGTCACTCGGGAGAGAAGCGTCGGCGCGCGCGGGGGAAGCGCATGGAGCGGCCGGCGGAGGAGGTGGCGGGGGCGATCCACCGCGTGGTGCAGAACGCGGACCTGCCGCTGCAGGCCGCCACCATCCGCCGCGTCTTCGCGCCATCCGCGCAGCTGCATCAGCCGCTGCTCGCATGCCGCTCCGCTTCCGCCATCGAAAACCTCTTTTGGGTGCGATTAACGGACGCCGCGCCAGCTAGAACTTCAGAACTAGTTATTACATTTTTTCCCCCATCTTCCCACCCCCCTCACCCCCCCATCCTCTCCATTACCCCCATTACCCCTATTCTCCCCCGTATGTTTCTCGCAGCTGCGCAGCGTCACGGCCATCTATTGGTACTTCACCGTTGCTGACGTCATCTACGACGTCACGCGCCCGGATCGCCTGGCGGTGCGCGGCACGATGAGCGTGCGGCCGTGGCTCGCGCCGTTCACCACGCGCCAGCTGCACATGGTGGCCGTGCTGCGTCTCGAACCGCACGAGGAGCGCGTCGCGTCTGACGACGATGATGATGATGTAGATGTCGCGAGGGCTGGCGGGACGGCCGCAGCTGGCCGCGTTGGCAGCGGCAGTGGCAGTGTCAGTGGCAGGGACAAGGGAAGTATCAATGCTACTAGCAGCGGCGGCGGCGGCACTGGCGGCGGAACGCGGGTGGTTTGGCGCATCGCGGAGCAGAGCAACTTCTTCGAGGTGGACCCGCTGGTGGCGGAGCTGCCCCTCATCGGCGCGCTCTATGCGTGGTCCGCGCGCCTCGCATTTCTCCCCACGGTGAGGCCCCTGTTGCTGCATCTCCCTGCTTTGCGATCTGCGGTAAAATGGGGTGGGCGCAGGCGTGCGGTACCACGAGTGGGGTGGCGCTTTTGGATTGTTTCTGCGTGAAATATCTCGTGTTTGACTCTCCATTGGTTGTTGCGCCTCACGCAGCATACTGATTTCCATACCACAGCGACACACTCCGCTCTAACCGTCAATGCCCGTCACTGCCCCCTCACTGTCCTATCTTTTGCCACTGTCATGCAGGTGCTGTCGCACGCCATGTCCACCGCCAATGCCATGTACCGCCTGGGACTGCCCGGGATATGGGTGGCATCCGCTGTCCTGTCTGGCATGCGACAGGCTGTCACTGGCATCCTGCATGTGGTGTTGTGGGTGCCCAAGAGACACTAGCACAGCCGTCCATCCCATGGCACTAGATTCTTCATACGGTACCTGTTTCGTACGCACAGTATATTCTTTTACAGGCTAGTACTGGCATGCTCCTTGTGGTCTGTGTGGGTGCCCAAGGGACATGAGCATGCCATGGCTGTCAGCAGCATCCCATGGTGCTAGATTCTTTGTACAGGCTGTTCTGTTGCTTGTATAATATGCATTTATACAAAGTTATGAGACAAGCCCTCTTGTGCTTGTGCAGCTGCTTTGGTTTGCAGTGGCACCAAATGTGGAGGGCCACCCAGCACATGCTGATGAGGGGAAAGGCACAGTGACGGTGATATCTTATGCTTGCACAAAAAATGCTGTTACGATGCATCACATACGGAACCCCCAGAGGCAGTGCAAGCACCAACCTTTGGAAACATGTACCGTAGTACCTCTGTCTGTGTACCGTAGTACCTGTCTGTGTACTTGAGCCTGCGCAAGTCATTGTTCAATGCTGTGTCCTACACCTCATTGTCACCATCACCTCCATTCACTGCACTGTGCTGTGCTACCATTTATCCTGCTACATACGGTATCTCAAAAAGGCCATCCTGCTGACATGACATGTCACCCCCCGAAGAAAAAGCCCCAGAACTGTTTCTTTCCACCCAGACCCCTCAGTACCTTGTTCCCGCTCCTTCCCCTCCATCTCCCCCTCCCCCTCCCCCTCCAACCCCCTGTCCCCCCGACAGCCTTCCCCCCAGGCGGCGCTTGTACTTCTTGGGCACCGATGCCACATTCGCCTTGCCCTTGGGAAACGCCACGCCCCCCTCAGTATCTTCTTCCCCCTCCCCCACCCCCCCCGCCTCCCCCTCCCCCTGCATGCCCACTGCCCCCTCCTCCCTGCCCGCCCGAGGGTCTTCCCCCCAGCCTCCGCTTATACCGCTTGAGCACGGAAGCCAGGTTCTCCTTGCCCTTGGGAAACGCCACGTCCCCCGCAGCCGTGCCGGTGCGCCCCTTCCTGGCCCCCACCGCCACCTCCACCTCTCTGATCCGCTCCAGGAACAGAGCCGGGGTCGCCGGCTTGGGCTGGCCCGGGGGTGCGCCGAGGGGCCAGGAGGGGTTGGCGAGGGGCAGCTGCGAGCCCAGCATGGCGGAGAGCAGCGCGCCGTGGAAGACAGGTTGGGCAGAGAGGGCTGGGAGAGAGGCTCGGTCGCCGTAGCACTGGCAGAGGCGCGGTGTGGTGCGCGGGCGGAAGAATGCCGGGTCTAATATGCCCTGGTGGATGGGGAGAGGGGGGTTGGTCGGAATGGGGAGGAGATGAAGGGAAAGAGGTGGAAGCGGGGAAGAGTGGTGAGAGGGATTGGGAGGGAAGGTGGAGAAGGGGAGAATGGGGAGAGGGGGGAAGGCGGTGATGTGGGCAGTGGTGATCGAGAGGGCTGAGCAGCTGTGCTGGGCATGCGTGGGCTCATGGCAGCACACCTCACTCACCTGCAGCTAGTTGAGCACTAGAGTGTACTTGCCCCACATGCTCATGCCCATGCGCACGCCACATGCACAACTGTGTGCCTGCCCGCCTCACCTGCAGCCGGTTGAGCACATAGGTGTATTTGCCCCACAGCTCTGGGCGGCTCTCCAGCTGAGACAGCTCCAACACACGATGCACACACCACACTCCAAACGACACCACCAGCAGCGGCCCCCACACACACTGCCCTCCACACCCCCATATCGACGGCGGCAGCTCCATCTCCCCCTCCTTCCCCCCTCCTCCCTGCCCCCCCTGCGCCTGCCCCTCCAAAATCCCCCCCACTTCCCGCTCCCTCCGCCCCCACCGCCCCCTCCGCCCAGCCCCACAGCGACAGCAGCAGCAGCGTCCCCTGCAAGCTTCTTCTCTCGGTAGGCCACAGCCGCCACCAGATCTTCATCACTGCCCGTGTCGTACCGGAACAGCCAGTCACTGCCGTCTAGCCGTAGCAAGCGGTGCAGGCACACTCTCAGCCGGTCCATTCGGCGCTCTTCGTCCGTTTGCACGTGGGGTTTTGCCGGGGGTGGTGAGCGGGATGGGTTGGGTGGAGAGTGGTTGAGTGCGGTGGAGGGAGGGGCGGCGAGAGGGGTGGAGGAGGAAGGGGAGGAGGAGGCGGGGGAGGAGGAGAGGGAGGAGGAGAGGGGCCCGGAGTGCGTGCCAAAGAGCATGTCGCGCGGGTTGCTGGCCCACAGGGACGAGTGAGCGCTGCTGCTGCTGGTGCTGCTGCTGCTGGTGCTGCTGCTGCTCTGCTGGTCGTCCTGTTCCTGCTGCTGGCGCCGGGAGGGAGGGCCGATGGGCTTCACTGCAACCATGCCATGCGCGCCCTGCCCCTGCCCCTGCCCCTGCCCCTGCCCCTGCCCCTGCCCATGCTGCTGCTGTTGCTGCTGCTGCTGCTGCTGCCACTCCATGTGGTTACCACCAGCCCCTCCAAACGCACTGCTGCCACTGCTGCTGTCGCCCATCCATCCCCCTTCTCCTCTCCCCGCCCCCACAGCCCCTCCCCCCCACGGCGCCCCTGCAGGCGCAGGGGGGGAGGGGTGGCGGGGGAAGGGGAAGCCGGGGGGAGCGGAGGGGGAGGCCCCCACCAGCTGGTGCATGGGGGCGTGGGGGTGGCCCAGCGGGTGGCCCTGCGGGTGGCCCTGCGGGTGGCCCTGGGGGTGGCTGTGGGGATGATCATGGGCGTGGGCGTGCGCGTGGGAGAGGGGGTTGGTGCCGCGCATGGCGTCTGGAGGAGCGAAGCTCGCATAGCTCTGTGCTAACTGGTCCAAACGCTCGTTCCTGCCCATGCCCGTGCCCATATCCATTCCCATTCCCATTCCCATATCCATACCCATGTTCACATCCATGCCCATGCGGGATCCTTGATTAATGCCCATGCCCATGTCCATGCCCATGCTATCCATGCTGTTCCCACGCTGCAGCCATGCCTGCTGCTGCTGCTGCTGCTGCTGTTGCTGCTGCCACGGCTGCTGTTGGTGCGGCTGGGAGGAGAAGAAAGAGGAGGACGGATGCTGCTGTTGCTGCTGCTGCTGTGGTTGGTACTGAGGAGTGAAGGGAGCAGCACCGGCAGCACCCAGCAGCCCAGCACCGGCAGACATCCCAGGCACACCCATAGCCGGTGACCCAACCGCACCAAACGCCCCCCGCCCTCCCCCCAGCCCCATTCCGCCTCCCCCTCCCCCGCCCGCCCTCCCCCCGCCCCCCCCATAGCCCTGCGCGAGCAGATCCGCGTACAGGTTGGGGGTGGAGCGGCTAGGCCCCTCCACGTCCCTGTGAGGGGCGCCGGGGGCGGGAGAGGCGGAGAGGGAGGAGAGCGAGGGGAGGAAGGGGGGTGCGGTGAGCAGCGAGTGCTGCTGCTGGGGGGGCAGGTCGGAGAACTTGGGGAGATGCGCCAGTGTGCTGTACTGGCGCACGGAGGGGGAGGGGTGGGCGGCGGAGGAGGAGGAGGAGAGGAGAGGGGACATGTTAGGGGGCGGGCGGGAGAGTGAGGGGCGGGAGGAGAAGGGGTCTCTTGAAAGGAAGGGGTCGTGGAGGGGGGGCGGGGGGGAGGAGGCGTCGAAAGAGGAGCGGCGGTGGGGAGTGAGGGCGAGGGGGTCGGGGACAGGGAGGGAGGCGGCGAGAGAGAGGGAGTTGGGGAGGGGATCGGGGGAGAAGAGATGATCCTCTGGGGGGAGGGCGGGTGGGAAGGAGGGTGCTCCGTTGGCCGCATTGCCAGGTGTACCCCCTCCTGCTGCTGCTGCCCCTGCACCTGCTGCTGTAGCACCAACACCACCATAGCCACCGACACTGCCAGCACTGCTTGCACCACTGACAGCAGCAGCAGCAGCAGCAGCAGAGGCGGTAGCAGCAGCCCCAAGCATGCTGGAGCGAGAAGCAGCCCCCACTCCAATCCCTCCACCCCCACTCCCATCTGTACCGCCTCTCTTCCCCTTTCCCCCGTCCCCTCCCCCCTTCCCCCCCGCCTTGCTACTCCCCCCAGCGGGGCGGGCAGCGGGCAAGGGCACAGGCTGGCCGTGCAGGTCGAAGAGGCCCCCCCAGAACTCATCTAAAATGGCAGCAAACTGCCTCCTTGCGCCCCTGCCCAGCCCAGACACGCGCGACAAGCTGCCACTGCCACTGCCCCCCATGCTGCCACTGCCGCCCATGCCACCTGCCCCAATCCCAGACGGCAAAGCGCCCAGCCCATCGCCGTCACTGCCCCTCGCAGCAGCTGCAGCGGCAGCGGCAGCAGAAGGGAGCAGTGAGGAGTGGTGGCGGGGTTGAGAGTGGTGCAGAAGGTCAGAGAGGGATCCAGAACCACAGGGGCTGCCTACGCTGCTGCGCGCACCAGAGAAGGGCGCTGCCTGGGCGGACGGGGGAGAGGGTGTGCGGGAGATGGGGGCAGGGAGGAGAGCGGTGGAGTCGGGGAGAGGTGGGGATTTGGACAGGCCTGACCTGGACAGGTGGGACTGCTGTTGCTGCTGCTGCTGCTGTTGCTGTGGTTTGTTTGCCTCCACCCTCCCACCTGCAGCAACTGCTGCAACTGTTCCTTCTGTTGCTGCTTTTGCTGCTGCTGCTGACACTGCTGCTGCTACCGATGCTGCCACGACTGATGGTGGGGCTGCTGCAGCAGCAGAGGCGGCAGCAGCAGAGGGACCAACAACCACCACCCCCTCACCTGCACTCTGCTCCACCACTCCTCCCACCACCACCACCCGCTTCTCCTGCTCCTCTACCTCCATCTCCATCTCCCCTGCCCCTCCCTCCGCCCCTGCTCCTGCTTCCGCCCCTGCTTTCGCCCCTGCCCCCACTTCCCCAGCTGCCACTGCTTCCGCTGCTGCATCTCCCTCCGCTCCCGCCCTTCCCTCCGCCTGCACCTTGCCCTCCGCCTCTCCCGCACCGCCTCCCTCCATGCGGTGCCTCTTGGCATCCCCTGCGCCCCCACCCTCCAGCCCCTCCTCCAATGCCTCCCTCTCCGCCCGCCTCTCCCCCTTCCCCGCCGCCACAAAAGAACCCTCCGCCTGCTCCCCCATCCCACTGTCGCCACCGCCACCGACACCACCTGCGCCCATCCCCCCTTTCCCACCCCGCGATTCCCCTCCGCCCGTGGCCGCCTGATGGTGTGCCACAGCTGCCACATCCCCCTCCCCCTCCCCCTCCCCCTCCCCCTCGCCCTCGCCCGGACCCACACTCGCTGGTGCTCCCTCACCTGCACGCACCGACCCTTGCACAGCCGCCTCCCCTCCTGCCTCCCCTTGCCCCTCCACTTTCCTATCCTCTCGCCCCTCCTCCCTGCCTTCTCCTCGCCCCTCCACCGACCCATCCTCTCCACTTTTCCCTCCCTCCCCACCCTCCCCAACCTCCCCACCCTTTTCTTCCCCTCCCCCCGCTAGCCTGCCCGCGCCAGCCTGCTCTTCTGCGCCCCCCGCTCCCCCTGCGTCCCCAACGTCCATGGCCTCCTGTGTCTCCGCCTCCCCCTCCCCACCTCCCTCCACTTCTTTGTCTCCCCCTCGCTGCTTCCCACCCACTTCCACCTCCGCTTCCTCCTTCCTCTCCGTTTCCCTTCCCTCGTCACCTCTCGCTTCCTCTATACCCTCGTCACCTCTCGCTTCCTCTATACCCTCGTCACCTCTCGCTTCCTCTATACCCTCGTCACCTCTCGCCTCCTCTATACCCTCGTCCTTCTCCACCGTATCCCCCTCCTCTCCCGTCTCCCCCCTCTCCACCATGCCCCCATCGCCCTCCTCCATCGCCTCCCCAATCACCTCCAATTCATGCACACTCTTGTTCTTCCCCTCCCCATTCGTCTTCTCAGTGCCCCTCTCAGCGCCCTTTTCTCTCGCTTCCACATCTGCTTCTCCGCCTTCCCCACTCTCCTCTCTCTCCCCGCCTCCCTCCCCCCTCTCCTCTCCCTCTCCCTTTTCCCCTCCTTCCCCTGCTGCCCCTCCCCGCACCTCACGGCCTCGAGCCACGTCTCCCCTCTCCACCGCGCGCATCCCCTCACTCACCTTACCCGCACCCACCACGCCCTCGCCCCTCCCCTCCTCGCTCTCCTCCTTACCAGTCTGCTCTTTGCCCATATCCCCATGCTCGCCTGTCCCCACATGCCCCGCTGTCTCCCCCTCAGTCTCCCCCCCAACCTTCCCCCCAATCTCCACTGTCCATCCCCCACTATCACCCCGCTCAGCACCCTCGCCTGTGCCATCTGCCGCCCTGCCCACGCCATCCGCCAGAGTGACTGCGCGATCAAAAGGAACCCTCTCCTCTGCTTTCTTCTCCTCCTCCCCCTTCTCCTCCTCCCCCTTCTCCGTCTCCTCGCCTGCACTCCCCACGCCACCATTCGTCCCATCCTCGTCCCTCTCCTCCTCCGCTAACTCCTCTCTCTCCTCAACCTTCTCAGAAGATGAAACCTTGTCAACAGATGAAACATTCTCAGCAGATGAAACTGGTTCAGCAGATGAAGCCTTATCAACAGATGAAACCGTGTCAGCAACCGAAACTGGTGCAGACGAAACCGGCAGGGGTGAAACTTGTGGGGGTAGCACCGGTGCAAAGGTAGGCGGCGGCTCACGGTCGCCCACACGCCCCTCACCCGCCACCCCAGACACCAGCACAGCCTCTCCCCCTCCCACACCCTCATCAACCCCGCCCCTCCTCTCCTCCCCTGCCTTCCCACCTCTTGCTGCTGCACCTGCTGCTGCTGCACCTGCTGCTGCGGCTGCCACAGCACGCACAGAGACAGAACGCTCCTCCCCAGCTGGCGAGCCTGCTTCTGCCTGCGCCCCTCCCTCACTCGCCTGCCACTGCGCGCCACTTGCCATTGAAAGCATGCTGGCTCTCTCAGGCCCCTGCCTGCCCCTCTCCCCCTCCCTGCTACCCACACCCACCCCCCTCTCTGCCACACACCCCGACACCGACGCTGCTCGCTGCACTCGCATGATCTCTCCACGCTCCCCACCCACACCCGCACCACTGCCACCACCGCCACTGCCGCTACCATACCCACCCACCCCCTCTGATACCACACCCCTCACGCCCTCCCCCATCTCCCGCCTATCCCCCCCGTGCTGCCACTGCGGCTGCCCCCCCACGCGCCTCCTCAGGGCACTGTTCCACGACCCCCCCTCCGCGCCCTCCCCCTTCTCCCCCGCCCTCTCCGCGCCAGGCAGCAGCACAGGCAGCGGCCCAGACACGGGGGACGCGGACGGGCGGGGTAACTCCCATGTCCCCCCTGCGCTCGCCCTCCCCTCTCTCTCCGAACCCCACCGCGCCTCCCCCCCGCGCCTGTCCTGCGCTGTCGCCAGTGGCAGGGGGCGAGGGCGGCGGAGAGAGGTGGGGGCGGAGGTGGAGGAGGGGGAGGGTGCGGAGAGGGAGGTCGAGGCGGAGTGGGAGAGCAGCAGGCGGCGCTGCTGTTCATCCTCCGACCGCAGAGGCAGCAGCATGAGCCAAAGCAGCCCGCCCAGCATGCCGCCCACCAGCGCCGTGCTGCCAAACACCGCCACTAGCTGCCGAACGTTGCGCCACACGGCGGACGGCGATAGCCCCACAGCCAACCCCTCCCCGTCATCTTCCTCCCCTCCCCTCGCGGACAGATACTCCCCCGCCAGCACCCACTCCCACAGCCCCATTCCCCCGATATCATCCCCGTCTGCGCCCCCTGCGACTGCCTCTGCAGTGGCGAAGCGCAGCAGCGCGTCCCCCAGGAACCACACAGAGAGGGCGCACGCAGAGAGGCACGCCGCCCAGCTGACGAGCTCTAGCGCGGGCCCAACGCGGTGGCGCCCCATGAGCGCGGAGGACGCCGCCAGGCGCACCAGGGGGACGGCTGCGAGCGGGAGGAGAAGCGCCAGGAGGAGCTGCGAGTGCGAGAGGAGGGAGAGAGTGGCAGCGTCGCCGAGGGTGAGGGAGAGGAGGAGCAGGAGCGGGAGGGTGAGGGCGCGGGTGAGGAGGAATCTTTGCCATGGGCGCAGGTGCACGTGGGCGAAGGTGGAGGCGGAGAGCTGGCCGGCGTAGGCGTTGGTGGGGGTGGAGAGGTGGAAGGAGGCGAGCAGAGCGAGGGAGGCGAAGGTGGGCGCCACGTTGCTGTTCACCACCTGCTCCACCAGCCGGTACACGCCCCACAGCCGCACCACCCGCCCCTCCCCGCCCTCTTCCACCCCTTCGAACCCTTCCCCATCGTCCTGTCCGCCTGCCCCTGCCCCGTCCCCCCCTGCGCCCTGGCCCACAGCGGAGGCCCCCAGAAGCAGCGCGAGAGTGGCAGCAGCGGCGATAAGCTGAGAGTGGACGAAGTCGCGACGGTACTGTTGCTGCTGGGGGGACGGCGGGTGGGGGGACCAGCGGCGGAGGAAGGGGAGGCGGGGGCAAGGGGGTAGTCGCGGGAGGGGTGGAAGGCGGAGGCGGAGGCGTCAGGGGGGGAGGATGGCGTGTCAGGTAACGGTTCTGTGAGGTCGTGCGCGTTTGGATCGTCCTGGAAGGTGGGAAAGGAGGAGAGGGGGCACAGATGGATCAAGGAACATGTAAGGCTGACATGTGATGTGAGGCGTTCACGCTTTAAGATGTTGAGGGAGTGGTGCGAGAGAGGGCATAGACGTGCAGTGCAGCACACGGATGCACGAGGGGGGCGCTTAGCTCACGAGTACAGCGAATGCAGGAACACAGGTAGACGGAGCTGGAGGTACGAGGGTGCGAGTGCGAGGGCACCATTGGTTCCTCAAACCACTCACCTGCAGCACGAGCGCGGAGAGCAGGAGGAAGCGGTGGGGCAGGACGAGCGCGCCGATGGCAGCGAGCACGAGGTGCAGCGAGGCAGGCGGCAGTGCTGGCAGCAGCGCGGCTGAGAGTGAAGAGAGCAGGAAGGCGGGACCCGCGAGGAGGGCCTGCAGGGCTGCGCAGAGCAGCGCGAGGAGGGCGCATGCCACACATGCTGACACCGCCTGGTGCGCCTGGAGGGGGAAGTGGGAGGGGAGGAAGAGAGGAGGGGAGTGCAAGGGAGAGCGAGAGGGAGTGTTAGGGTGTGAGAGGAAGTGGAGAAGCGGAAGCGAGACTAATGGGAGGAACAGCATGGAGAGGCAGTGGCGCAACGCGCACAGGCACACACACTTTGGGATGCAGAAAGCGGAAACAGGCAGGAAGGGAGGCAGGTAGGTACAACAGCTCTCATAGCACCCATCCCGTGCCCGCCCCCCCACCTGCGGCAGCGGCAGTTGGAGCAGCAGCACGCCCGAGCCCGCCGCCAGCAGCAGCGCCGCCTTGAACGGCGCGCCCACCAGCTGCTGTAGCGCCACCGCGCTACCCAGCACCTGGGGGGGAAGGAGGTGTGGATCGGTGGGGAGAATGGGGGGGGAATGGGGGGAAGGGGTGGGAAGGAGGAGGCGCGTGTGGTATGTGCAGCGAGCGAGTGTGTGTTGCGGTGGACGGTTGGGTGGTGTGTGTGGCAGGCGAAAAGGAGGCGAGGCGGTGAGTGGGAGATGGCGATAGGGATGGGGATGGAGAAGGGGGTGAGGGTGGGGGTGGGGATGGGGATGGGGATGGGGATGGGGATGGGGATGGGGATGGGGATGGGGATGGGGATGGGGATGGGGATGGGGATGCGGATGCGGATGGGATCAGAGAGTGCCGAACGTACCGTGACGAGGTCGAACCAGAGCACGGACGCCTCGCAGATGACCCACGCCACCCGGCAGAACGCGCGCGGATACTCGCGCACTATCACCTGCGCGACGCGCAAGCGGTCACGCGGGAAGAGGCAGGGAGGGTGGGTCGGAAGGGAGGGGAGTGGGGAGGGGGGAAAAGGAGCAGTGAAGGGGAGGATTGGCAGCGGGCAATGCGGCGAAAGACGCGATCTGACTGGCAAATAGCTTCACAGGCGAAAGGCGGGCGTGCCGGCCGGACGATGAAGCGCGGAGCGACGAAACCCGTGGATCAGGACAGGCGGGCCTAAGATAGTTCCTGAAAGGCGGCGCGGCGGCGCGGGGCTCACAAGCGGCAGCGACTGGCGCGTGGCGAAGGCGACGCGCATGGCGAGGAGGTTGAGCAGAAGCGCGAGGCCGTGCGCGAAGGCGAAGGCCCACGCGAGCTGCGCGCCGAACTGCGACCCCGCCTCCGCCATCGTCGCCACGCTTCCCGCGTTGAACGACCCCGCCGCCAGCGCGAGCGTCGTCCCCAGCACCGTCTGGATCCGCCACAGCGCCATGGCGGGAAAAACGGGACCTGCTGGAAGATTCTCGCGAACGAATCTAATGTGCCGTCGTTAGAGGATTTCCCGTGTTTAGGGGATGCGGCGGCGTGAGTGCATGTGCCCGCGAAGGACACATTCCCCGCAACTGGTGCATGGCGGGTGCGAGGCGACGGGGAAAACGGAAATGACGCGCACGACTAGATAATCGTGACTAAAAACTAGATAATTAAGTTATGATGTGCGAAAGTGATAATAATGAAGAGGGATGAGGGGGAAAGGGAATGGAGGATGCGGGATACAGGAATCCGAAACCTAGGGAACTCCTATCTTCTGAACGACGGTCAGCGATTCTCGCGAAACTTGTGCTGTAACCGAGGCTTCGCATCAGGACATATTTTTTACCGAGGATGCAAAAGTGGTGGAGCAAGGCGGGTTCATTTCGAGACGAACACGCTTCTGTCGCGTACAGCCCATTCACCCAAACTGGCTACTGACCACCACTCTTGAGGTCTCCCTCCCTAGTCCCATCGCATCGCATTCGCACCCCTCTCTAATCTCTCGAATCTCGATCTATCAGCCGTCGCCTGCGTGTGCCGCTTCGTCAGACAATAATCCCCTCTCCCTTCACCGCTCTCGTTTGGATCCCGCGAATCACGCTCGTTTCTCGCAATCTCCACGACCCTCGCGTCATTTTTTTCGTCAGATTTCGCATTCAAAATTCTTCGTCGATTTCGCGAAGAAAACGAGCGAGCGAGCGATTCGGCAGCATGGGGAAGGCGGCGGCAATCGAGAAGGTGGTGGTGCATCCGCTGGTGCTGCTGAGCATCGTGGACCACTACAACCGCGTCGCCAAGGACACGCACAAGCGCGTCATCGGCGTGCTGCTCGGCGAGACGGCGCGCGGCCGCATCGATGTCACCAACAGCTACGCAGGTTAGGGTTGAGTGGGTCGCGGCGGGAAAGGTTATTCAGGAGTGGGTCGCGGCGGGAGAGGGTGTTCAGGAGTGGATTTGGAGGTGCCTGCGAGAGCTGTCAGGCGTGGATGTGGGGGGGTCGGCGTGAATCGATCAGCATGACTTGATCAGCTGCACTTGTGCTAGCTTCCGTGTCAGCGTGCTCGCAGTCGCTGCAACTCGTGCGCTGGCGTTGCGTCCCTCAAATCTATGGCCTACTCTATACCTGCCCTCTGGTACTACATGATGCTGCGTGCTGCTGTGTGCGTGCATGGTGCTACATGATGCGTGGATGCATGCTGCGTGCGTGCGTGCATGGTGCTACATGATGCGTGGATGCATGCTGCGTGCGTGCGTGCATGGTGTGCGTGCAGTGCCGTTCGAGGAGGACGACAAGGATGCGAGCATCTGGTTTCTGGATCACAACTACCACGAGGCCATGTTCGCCATGTTCAAGAAGATCAACGGTGCGCCGCCCTGCCGCCCTGCCGCCCTGCTGCCTGCAGCCCCGCTCCCCACTTGTTCCCTGCACCGCATTTGCACGACGCCCATCCGCACCTGGCTTGCACGACGCCCATCCGCACCTGGCTTGCACGACGCCCATCCGCACCTGGCTTGCACGAAGCTTATTCTTTCCCGGCCGTCACAAGCTGTTGCTTGTTTCACTGACACCCGCCCTTGGCGCATATGCGCACAACCCAAGCCCTTGGTGCATATGCGCACAACCCAAGCCCTTGGTGCATATGCGCACAACCCAAGCCCTTGGTGCATATGCGCACAACCCAAGCCCTTGGTGCATATGCGCACAACCCAAGCCCTTGGTGCATATGCGCACAACCCAAGCCCTTGGTGCATATGCGCACAACCCAAGCCCTTGGTGCATATGCGCACAACCCAAGCCCTTGGTGCATATGCGCACAACCCAAGCCCTTGGTGCATATGCGCACAACCCAAGCCCTTGGTGCATATGCGCACAACCCAAGCCCTTGGTGCATATGCGCACAACCCAAGCCCTTGGTGCATATGCGCACAACCCAAGCCCTTGGTGCATATGCGCACAACCCAAGCCCTTGGTGCATATGCGCACAACCCAAGCCCTTGGTGCATATGCGCACAACCCAAGCCCTTGGTGCATATGCGCACAACCCAATCCCTTGGTGCATATGCGCACAACCCAAGCCCTTGGTGCATATGCGCACAACCCAAGCCCTTGGTGCATATGCGCACAACCCAAGCCCTTGGTGCATATGCGCACAACCCAAGCCCTTGGTGCATATGCGCACAACCCAAGCCCTTGGTGCATATGCGCACAACCCAAGCCCTTGGTGCATATGCGCACAACCCAAGCCCTTGGTGCATATGCGCACAACCCAAGCCCTTGGTGCATATGCGCACAACCCAAGCCCTTGGTGCATATGCGCACAACCCAAGCCCTTGGTGCATATGCGCACAACCCAAGCCCTTGGTGCATATGCGCACAACCCAAGCCCTTGGTGCATATGCGCACAACCCAAGCCCTTGGTGCATATGCGCACAACCCAAGCCCTTGGTGCATATGCGCACAACCCAAGCCCTTGGTGCATATGCGCACAACCCAAGCCCTTGGTGCATATGCGCACAACCCAAGCCCTTGGTGCATATGCGCACAACCCAAGCCCTTGGTGCATATGCGCACAACCCAAGCCCTTGGTGCATATGCGCACAACCCAAGCCCTTGGTGCATATGCGCACAACCCAAGCCCTTGGTGCATATGCGCACAACCCAAGCCCTTGGTGCATATGCGCACAACCCAAGCCCTTGGTGCATATGCGCACAACCCAAGCCCTTGGTGCATATGCGCACAACCCAAGCCCTTGGTGCATATGCGCACAACCCAAGCCCTTGGTGCATATGCGCACAACCCAAGCCCTTGGTGCATATGCGCACAACCCAAGCCCTTGGTGCATATGCGCACAACCCAAGCCCTTGGTGCGTATGCGCACAACCCAAGCCCTTGGTGCGTATGCGCACAACCCAAGCCCTTGGTGCATATGCGCACAACCCAAGCCCTTGGTGCATATGCGCACAACCCAAGCCCTTGGTGCATATGCGCACAACCCAAGCCCTTGGTGCATATGCGCACAACCCAAGCCCTTGGTGCATATGTGCACAACCCAAGCCCTTGGTGCATATGCGCACAACCCAAGCCCTTGGTGCATATGCGCACAACCCAAGCCCTTGGTGCATATGCGCACAACCCAAGCCCTTGGTGCATATGCGCACAACCCAAGCCCTTGGTGCATATGCGCACAACCCAAGCCCTTGGTGCATATGCGCACAACCCAAGCCCTTGGTGCATATGCGCACAACCCAAGCACGCGCCGCACTCTCACCCATCGCATGCCTCCATGCATCCCATCTGCATCTCTTCCCCCCCCTTTTTCTAACTCCACCCACGCCCTGCGGTGCGGTGTGGTGCGGTGCGGTGCAGCGAAGGAGCGAGTGGTGGGGTGGTACTCGACGGGCCCCAAGATCCGCGAGAGCGACCTCGACATCCAGGAGCTCTTCTACAAGTCAGTCGCGCATCCATCCATCCATCCATCCATCCATGCACCCATCCATCCACCATCCACCCATTCACACATGCGCCCATCCACCATCCACCCATGCAGGCGTGCGCTCATCCACCATCCACGCATACCCATGCACCCGTCCGCTGATTGAACCCCCATCCTCCCCCAGCAACTGCAGCGACCCAGTGCTGGTGATCATCCACGTGCAGTGCAACCATCCATCCGCCCATCCATCCGCCCATCCATCCGCCCATCCACCTTTCAAACACATCACCCGTGCCCCCATGCACTCTACCAACATCCCCCCCACCCATGTGCTCATCCACCCATGTGCCCATCCACACATGTGCCCATGTGCGCCCTTTTCCATCCCACAGCTACTGCAGCGACCCAGTGTTGGTGATCATAGACGTGCAGCCGCTCGAGCTGGCCATCCCCTCACAGGCCTACTGCACCGTCGAGGACGTCAAGGAGGTGCGTGAGGCGAGGAGGTGCGTGAGGCGAGGAGGTGGGGGCATGAAGGAGGCGAGGGCGTCAAGGAGGTGCGCCGTGGTGCCCACTGCCCGTTGGTGGAGCCGAGGGCAGATGGGGGTGGTGAGGCGTTTCAGACAAAGCAGTGTTTGGACTTGGTTGTGCACCGTTTGAGACAAAGCAGTGTTTGGACTTGGTTGTGCACCGTTTCAGACAAAGCAGTGTTTGGACTTGGTTGTGTTTGGACTTGGTTGTGTTTGGACTTGGTTGTGTTTGGACTTGGTTGTGCACCGTTTGCTGTGCTGTTGCCAGCATGGCACTGCCCTCCATGCTTCACTCATTGCCGCATGGTGGATGTCACCTGACATGGCGTGGCATGAACATGGCATGCATGGCGTGTGGAGTGTATGTTGCAGGACGGCACGCAGAAGAGTCAGAAGGCGTTTGTGCACATCTCATCGGAGATTGGCGCGTACGAGGCCGAGGAGATTGGTGAGTGGATAGGGCGATGGTGCAGATGGTTGTGGAAGGTGGGAATGCAGATGGTTGTGGAAGGTGGGAATGCAGCAGGGTGGTATGGTACTGATGTACACGCAAGTTCTTTTCTACCTCCTCCTCCTCCTCATGTGGCATGTGCTCCCCGGTTCTCACCCCAATATCCTGCCCTCCCCCGTGTCCCACGCCCTTGCCCCATCTCCACGTGCCCCCTCGCCCCCCCTCAGGCGTGGAGCACTTGCTGCGCGATGTGAAGGACGCCACCATCACCACACTCGCCTCTGAGGTGCGCGCATCACCACACTCGCCTCTGAGGTGCGCGCATCAATGCCCGCCCTGCCACGCGCACTTGAGCAATCACTGTGGCAATGCACTCGTGCTCGCATGCCTAATCATCGCTCCCTCATTTCTGGAACATCTTTCTTGTTTGCACTGTGCTAGTATGCATGCTCCCCCACGCTCATTTATACCCTCCGTGCTCGCTTGTGCCCCCTCAACCCCCCCCACCTCCCCCTCCCCCCCCAGGTGAGCGCAAAGCTGGTGGCGCTGAAGGGCTTGGAGTCACGGCTGAGGCAGCTGCGCTCATACCTGGACCTGGTGGCAGCAGGCCGCCTGCCACTGCGGGCGGACATCCTGTACGGCGTGCAGGACGCCTTCAACCTCCTGCCTAACCTCAACGTTGATGATCTCGTTAAGGCATTCGCTGGTGAGTCTTCCTCTCTCTGCACTGCTCTGCACTGCACTGCACTGAACCTCACCGTGCTGCACTGCACTGCATAGCACTACACTACACAATTCAAAGTCCCTGCACGCTGTGCAGGTGTGTGCTCCAGTACCCACCTATTCTCACCCATGTTGCCCCGTTTCTGTCCTGCCCTACTTCCCCCTGCCCCATGGCATGGCATGGCGTGGCACTGATGGCATGGCATGGCATGGCATGGCATGGCATGGCATGGCATGGCACTGATGGCATGGCACTGATGGCATGGCACTGATGGCATGGCACTGATGGCATGGCACTGATGGCATGGCACTGATGGCATGGCACTGATGGCATGGCAGTGCGCACGAACGACATGACACTGGCGGTGTACGTGGCGTCACTGGTGAGGTCCATCATCGCGCTGCACAACCTCATCAACAACAAGGTCAGCGCCACTGTGGTCCTCTATGCACTCACACTGCCACCACATGCACCCATGCTCCCATCCCATCCCATCCCATCCCATCCCATCCCATCCCATCCCATCCCATCCCATCCCATCCCATCCCATGTGTGCCCAACCCCACCCGCCCATGTGTGCTGCCACACCCACACCCACACCTACATCACATGAGCACTCTGTCCAGCCGTATCTTCCATGCCCACGGGCCACCACTCTCATCTCCCTTCTCTCTGCACGCTCCTCTCTGCTCCTCTCTGCCCCTCTCTGCCCCTCTCTGCCCCACTGTGCCCTCTATGTCCCTCTATGCCTCTCTGTGCCCCTCTGTACCCCTCTGTGCCCCTCTATCATCTATGTCCCTCTATCATCTATGTCCCTCTATGCCTCTCTGTGGCCCTCTGTGCCCGTCTGTGCCACTCTCTGCCCCTCTATGCCCGTCTGTGCCACTCTCTGCCCCTCTGTGCCCGTCTGTGCCACTCTCTGCCCCTCTGTGCCCCTCTGTGCCCGTCTGTGCCCGTCTGTGCCTGTCTGTGCCCGTCTGTGCCCCTCTGTACCCTTCTGCGCCCCACTGCCTCCCTACACCGATACGGCAGGTGGTGAACAAGGAGGCGGAGAAGGCAGTGGACTCATCCGCTGCAACCCCTGTGCCCTCTGCTGCTTCATAGGCTGCTCACTCATTTGTTACCCGCACCAGTTGATTCAATTTACAAGATTTGAGATGAGTCTCTTTCATCCCAAAAGTAATGTCCATATACGTAACTGACCCCTAAGTTACTCGTCTCATCATAATTTACTGCTAAGGTTTCTCCTGGCACAAATTAAATGTACAAACTGGTGGGAACAGACCTATCCATTGGTCCTAGCCGCACACACCTCTCATGGTCTTCCGCATTCGCCGCCTTGCAGCTATAGGCGGCGCCCACCAGGCAGAGGCAAGCCGCAGGCAGTAGCAGGCACGCATCAAAATCGTGGGGGAGGCCGACGGGGCAGGCCGGTGGCAGTCTCTCACTCCAGCAGCCCACAGTCCTGGATGACGATGGCTTTAAGAGGTCTGTTCCACGTGCCGCGGCCCTTGGCAGCGCGGTCGTCCCCCAGCAGAGCAGCAAAATCGTTGAACTGGCGGATGCGCTCGCTGGGCTGGAAAGTCGGCACCGCCGCCACGGCTGCCACCACCTCCATGCCTGCTCGCACAGGGAGGGTGAACGGGGGAGGGAAGCATAGGGAGGGTGAACGGGGGAGGGAAGCATAGGGAGAAGGGGGAAGAGAGGTTGGAGTTGTGCGGAGAGCAGGATGCGAGGGCACACCACAGCACAGCACAGCACTCGGTGGCCAAGTCGTTCAACTGCCGGATGCGCTCACTGGGCTGGAAGGTGGGCACCGCCGCCACCACCTCCATGCCTGCTCAGTGCTCCCCCACAGGGCGCATTCGAAGGGCCATGAGGTGGGGGGGGAAGAAGAGGATGGGGTTGGCAGGGAGGAGAGCACGGAAGGGGGATGAGGGAGAGATGATAGATGAAGGGGTTGGGTTGAGAGGGAGCAGGGCAGGATCACAGGAGTGGAAACAGGTGGATGGAGAGAGGAGTGAAACAGGCATGGGGTGCTATGGCGTCAATGCGCTCAGCTCAATTGCCCTGCCCTGCCGTGCCCTGCCCTGACAGCCATCTGTCAACCATTCCCTCCCCCCCCGCCATCCCCTCCCACCCGTCCCACTCTATCCTCCCAAAACATTAAGCCTTGACACCAGAACCCACGCCCCATGCACTACGCTCACCTTCCAGCACGGTGCCAAACACCATTGTCGCTCACCTTCCAGCACGGTGCCAAACACAATGTTGTCGCCGTCCAGCTGCGTGGCGGGGCCAGGGCCTGGTGGGGGGGGGAGGGGGGGTGGAGTGGAGAGGGGGGGGAGGGGGGAGGCGGGAGAAGGCTGAGGAGGCAGAGCGGGCTGTGAAACGTGTGAAGCATGGAGTCCCTGTGAGGCTGCGTTTGAGTCGACTCAAAAGAAGCATGGAGTCCCTGTGGGGCTGCGTCGCGGGGCCAGGGACAGATGGGGGAAAGCTGGGTGACAGATGAGGGGGACGGGCTTTGGGACGAGGGGGAGAAGCGTGCGAGGGGGAAGGTGTGCTTCTCACATCACATCATGTTGCAGTGCAGGGGAAAGGGTTGGTCAATGAGGGAAGGGGCCAGCACATGGGAGGGGAAGGGGAAGGGGGCAGCACATGGGGGGAAAGGGGAAGGGGTGGCAGATGAAGGGAATGAAGAGAGAAGCGAGCAAGGGGCGGATGATTGACGAGCATGCAGTCACGCGCACGACAAGTAATTCCACCTTCTCCCTCCCTTCCTCCGTTACTCTCACGGTGGTGATGCGGTTCCCCTTCCCCCCCAACCCCTTCCTTTGCCCCTCGTCCCACCCGTGGTGATGAGGAACTCCACGTTGCGGTAGTTGCTGCGGGCGCGCACGCGCTCATCGTCGTTGTTCTCCCCCACGCACAGGGACAGCGTGCCGGGCCGCAGGTGGCTCAGCGCGAACGACGCCGCCGCCACCGTGTCGCGGTTCGGCGGAAGCAGCGTGGGCGGAGCGACGTCCCCGCGCGCCACCTGCCCCTGGTGGCCCGCCTGCACGTACTGCCCGGGCAGCGAGCGGTGGATCACGCTCCCCTTGTACGTCGACCCCGCGTCGCCCGCCACCATGCGCACGAACTGCGCCACCGTGTCCGGCGCCGCGCGCCCGTACAGCCCCAGCACGACGCGCCCGAGCGGCTCGCCGTCGGCGCAGATGAGCGCGTCGTCGCCCAGCGTGCGGTCGAGTCGCACGGCCGTGGGGCACACGGCGAAATCGAGGAACGCGCGGTGCGTCACGGTCGTGTCGGGGGCCGCCGGCGACGCGGCGAGGGACGGTGACGGGGAGAGGAGCGCGGCGGCGGAGAGGGAGGGGGTGAGCAGCGCGAGGGAAAGGAGGGCGTCACGGCGGGATAGACACGTGTCACGCTGCGGTCGTCCCTCGAGATCGTCGCGCGACGATGATTGTGCGCGCGGTGCGGCAGCAGGGTCAGCGCGCGGCGGTCTGCAGACGGCACGGGGATTCGAGAGGAGTCTGGCGGGCGGGGACGGGGTGAACGCGGGGGTGGGGAACGGCTTGGCGTGGGCGCTGCGGCGCGGAGGCGCGTGAGGGCTAAGGGGGCGGCGTGAGAGAAGGCATTCGCTGAAGGCGGTTGGGATGGAGGCGGCGGTCATGGCGGCTGGCGGATAATTGCGGCGGACTGCTGCAGTGCTACGTGTGGTGCTGGTCGCGGTACTCGCTGTGGAATGTGGAATGGATGGAGCGTCACTGCTGTTGTGCTGCTGCTGTTGCGGTGAGGGAAGGTGTGTGAGTGAATGTCAATAAAACACGTATATCACAGTTTCGAGTTCCCATTGTACGGCTGCTAGTACACTTACACGTCTGTTCTGTACTGGGTGATAATTCAAATGAAATGAAGTTGCTCAATTCAAAATCTCTTTTGCTGAAAACCTCGCCAGGTCACCCGTCAAGAAACGCAGTCATTGGCTGCCGAGCTTCAGTCTTGGCGCGCATAACCCAATCCCCGACGTTCAAGTCAGTCTCGCACGCTTGTGCCGAGCCTGAAGCGATCGCCGAAGCTGACGCTGACGCTGCGAGGGCAGCTGCTGACGGGGCACCCCCCTCACGATTCCTCCATCCAGCACAGTGTGTCGCGGAGGGGCGGCATGCTGCTTCCCCCGTTCGAGACCAACTGTGGCGTGCGAGCGCATGGCATGGCGCGCGCGACTTGGAAGTAGGAAATGTGCGCCCATCAACTGAGGTGTAGTCATTCCTGCTGGTGGCGTTGCGAACGAGGCATTTCCTGCTCGCGAAACTATTTCCAAACTTGCCCTGCGTAGCCTGCTGCGCTTCCCTATCTCCTTCCACGCTTGCCTCTGCGTCTTCCGGCTACTGCCAGCCATGGACGGCCATTTCCGCTGGCGCGCCTCCGCGTCGCCGCCGCACTTGAGTCGCGACGACGGGGACAGCGACGATCCGGATGACACTGCCGCGCCGTGTCGCAAAGGGCCCTTGCCGGCCCCTCCTTTACCCCGCGCTCCCTTCTCCACCGTGACAACCGCCGCTGCGTCCGGCCCTGGGAGGCGCGCGGCGGTGCAGCGCGAGCTGGAGCGGATGGCGCGGCCGCGCGCGGTGCTGGACGCGCGAGAGGCGGAGGTGCTGGCGGTTCTCGACTCCGCCTTCACGTGGCTCCGCTGCTCCGCGCAGCCCTGCGTGCCAGATGCCGCGCAAGCCGCAGACGAGTGCGCGGGAAGCTGGTACGACGGGCGACGGCAGGCGGGACTCGCCACAGTGGTCCTCGCGGACGACGATGACGATGGCGCCGCCGCTGTTGCCGCGGCTGATGACTATTCCGCTCCGCCTGCTGCTGCGCTTCTCGCACGTCGCTCGTTTACGTCGCCCATCGGCGACGGACGGAGGAACGGCGCACGGCCAGCCAATGGTGGCGGCCAACTGCACTCTGCCGTTCGGCCCGTCGCCCAGTATTCGCTGGCTGGCGGGGACGAGCGCTCTCTTCCGGCCCAGGCGTCGCAGGCGGCAGCTGTCGTTGCGGGCTGCGCGCCGAGCGCAGGAACTCACACCGTGGGCGGCGGCGTCGTGGTGCGAGCGGAGGAACGGGGGGAGGGGGGAGAGGTGGTGGTGAAGAGGAAGCGAGGCCGGCCCAAGGGCAGCGGCAAGAAGGGGTCGCTCGCCGCGCTCACTCCGTCGCACGTTCCGCCCTTGATTCGCATTCCGGCCTCTGCTCGTCTTCCGTCCCCCGCCTCAACACCGCGCGCGCTGTCGAACGCCGCCACTGCGTCGCCTGCAGATGCCAAAACTGGCGGCGTCGGGAGCGGCGAAGTGGAAGCGACGAAATGGGGAGAGCCGCACGAGGCTGGGCGCGATGAGATCAAGGAAGGCCGCGCAGTGGTTCAGTTCCAGGACAGCGAGGGGGCGGCGGAGTGGCAAAGAGCGGGTCGTCCAGGAAATGGGAACAGTGAGCAGCGCGGCGAGGGCGAAGCGGAGACCTGGCGGATGAGCGCGTGTGGCGCTAGCCGCCCTGTCGGACCCGCGGACGGCGGTGGTCCTGGCCGCCCTGCAGCAGCGAGGGCGGGGCTGCATGGCAGCGCGCAGCGGACGGGCGGCGACGAGGGGCGGGGCAGCAAGGGACCGTTGGGCGGCGGTGCCGGAGTGGGGGCGAGCGGCAGGGGGCGGAAGAGCAAAGGGCGTACAGGGAGGCGGCGAGGCAGGCCGAGGGTTGTTGGCGTGGAGAAGACGAGGTGCGTGGATGGCCCGAGGCAATGGCAGGAGCGACCGCAGGAAGGACAGGCGGGTAAGCGGGTGGGGGGCGAAGGGGAGAAGGCAGAAAGCGGCATGGCTGAGGACGACTCAGTATGGCCCGTGGGCGACGGTGGGGGCCGTGCGGAGGAGGGGGCAGGGGGGAGGGCGGAAGGGGGCCCCGTGTACCTGAGCGACCCGGAGCAGCGCCACGGGCGCATGCTGGCGAGTGACCTGGCGGCTGTGGCGGGTGGCGTCACAGGCGCCTTCAGCGCCCCCCCCACGCCCAGCGCCGCCCTTGGCGCCTGCTGTGTAGCGACAGGCACGGGCACGGGCACGGGCACGGGCGCGGACGATGCTGCAGAGGCGGTGGATTCAGTATGGGGAGAGGCAAGTGGTTCACATGGGGCTGCTGCGATGGGCAGTGGTGATGGGCTGCTACTGGATGACATGCAGGCATCGTGGCTGCATGGCGTGGGTGGGCTGGCTGGTGCGCATGGCATTCAGCATGGTGCGGTGGCGGTGGCAGGAAAGAGGGTGGAAGAGAGGGGGAGGGATGGTGGGGGATGTGTGGCGAAGAAGATAAGGGTATCACACGGGGGGGAGGGTAGTGGTGATGGGGGCAAGGAGGGTGTTATGGGGCGGGGTGTGTGGGGCAGCTGCAGTGAAGTGGCATCCCATGCAGACTGGAGGCCTTCAAGCGCTCTGGCTTTGGTGGGGGTGGGTGCAGGAGCGCTCTCAGGATCACACCCACCTGCGTGAAGATCAGAGCCAGGAATGAGAGGCTCCCATCTCGCAGTCTTGGTTAAAGCTAGGTGTGAAATATAGCTGCTCGAAATTGTGCACAGCCATTTAAGTCTGTTTTCACCGCGCTGGTGTTTCAAGAGAACGAATACCGTAATCACCTGGACATACCAGGCCCCCCAAATGGCTTGTGCAGGGTGGGTGCTATAGCAGACTTCGTTTCTACTACCGTATGGCCCCGGATAGTAGCGCAGGTGCGCTTATAATAAAATTAGTTTTTTTTTGGGTTGCGGAGCAACCTATTGCAATCGACAGGTCCTTTTTTTTTTTCACGGATTTTTTATTATCCAGAAAAAAAATCCTATATAAGCAGGGTCGAATTACATATTTATGGATACTTTATTGGTGACTTATTCTAATATTGTTTTATTCAGTGCCAGTCTACCAGATGCTGAAACGAAAGATGAAATATAATGACCAGACAATCAGATCATTCTATTTCAAGTAAGATTCTGTCGTCATATTCGGCACGAGAAAACGTATTCATCAAAATTGATGAATACGGTATGTTTTACTGCATGGTATTTTGTACTACGGTATACTAAGCGTCAGTCTATACTACCGCTTCCCCAGCCTAGCATGGGGGGGAAGTCGATAATATAAACATTGGATAAGCGACTATGACAGAGCAACACAATCTGCACACCCCAAAGAGAAATCTACCGATCAAGTCCAGCTGAAAATGGCTTCACTGTCATAGTGGTACACCACTCAACCTTTTGTGACGATGATCGGTAAGATATCTCTTTGAAACATGCAGACTGCATTACTATTGCAACAATCAGCAGCATAATAGAAACGGAAATGAAACGAAACTTCAACAAACTCAGAATTAAAATAAATCAAGCAATCACACTAAGTTGTACGAGACATTTCCTTCCATCCCACATGAGAACCAGTATCTGCAAATCTGCGATAACAAAAATACAATCATGGAATGCAAGAAAATGGAGAAAATATAAAGAACTCAATTTAGGGGGAACAAAACTGAAATAACCAAGAGAATGGCCGTAAAAACGTATTGAAACTTCAAGACACAGAAAATCAGAATAATTAGCTCCCGAACCAAAGAGGATAGGGAATAAAACTTGCAGGGGAAAGAGACAGTGAGTGTTATTAAAAATAATAGAGAATGACACAATATTAATACTAGTGAGCAGAAAACTAGAATGTGGAAAGTGAAAACTACATGAAGATGATTGAAGTTTTTTTAATATTAATCCAGAGATACAAGTGCACATCGGATGAGCCAATGCTAGAAAAGTGATATTGAAAAGGAGTGAAACAAGCAAATAAAACGAGAGCGTAGGGTGCCTAAACAAGGAAAGGAAGGAAAGAACACCGAACCTAGGATCTGATCGTTTAAAAAACGTAACAAAATGGTAATGCGGAATACAAAACAGAGGAGAAAATATCAATGATAACAATAGAAAGCAATTGGGTGGAACAGAAACACGGAAAAGTGCATGGATAAAGAACAAAGAAGGATTGATGAAAGAATCGATTGAACTAAGAAGAAATCAAAGAGCAAGTAAGAAAGAACCAGAATATGAAAAAGAAATATAGAAGTCGAAAAAAAGGGAAATGGGAAGAGGTGGAAAGAAGTAGAGAGGAGAGAACAAAGTTGCATAACTCATGAAGATTGGTAAGAAGATTGAAAAAAATAACGGAATAGAACGAAGGACGGGTAACGTAGGAAAACACTAACTTCGTGAGGGCTTTACCTAGTTGACATGAAGTAGCACGGATGATAGGAGGATGGAAAACAGAAAGGATGGAAGAGCGAACAAACTAGCGGAGGAAAATGGAAAACGAGTAGAATATAAGAAAAACCACCAAAAAAACAAACTATCACGGTTATAAGGGCATTCGTGAGTAGAGGTAAGCAGAAGGTGTGCACAAGAATACCTCGCAGGTAATGGTTCCCCACGGAAACAGCCGCTTATGGCGGCGGGGGGGCAAAGGTGCGCGGGGATAGGGAAGAAAGCTTACTACTAATTAACTCCAATAAGAAAAGAGGTAGTCGCTCACCGACAAAGAGATAGCAAGAGTTGTGCGAGTGGTTGGCAGTAAGGCAGTCGTAAGTGCTAAGACCAGGAAGACGCACGGCCAGGAACAAGCACGACCAGGAAGAAAAGGAATTTTCGAAACCCTAGCCAGGCCAACAATTCGACGACAAGTTTATTGAATATTATTTTTATTGTTAAATCTTCCCGTGCTTTGTAGCGCAAAGGTTTCGATGGTGTCGGTAGTTGGAAAGGGTGGGAGATCGATTCTCTTCGTAGTCGCAATTTGTTTCGACTGACAAAATGCCAGCTCCGTTACTGTTCGAAGTACACTTAACCCATCAATGTTGAATGATATGATAAAACAAAAAACTAATAGCACTGTGGGATTAACTAAATGTGAAACTTTTCTCTTCAGCCTTTTTCCTCATTCTTTGGTATCAAAATGCGAAGAGCTAAACAACTTCCCATATTTGTTTCAATTAAAAAAAAGAACAATTCCAAAAAAACATTAATGCAACATAGATATACATAAGAATATTAATTCAAAATATGCATCGATCAAGAAGCTCCGCAACCCTAAGACGATTTTGTCGCCTCTTGTTTTTTTTTAGGCTGGCGCTTGTAATTGAGTAACAGCCATAAGCGCCGGCGCTTTTATAAAGGCATCAATGAAATTCAAATATACAGGTACTAAATTGAAGCTCTCACTAAGGCGAATACACAGATGTGACGTGCGCATGGGATCGTGCATGGAATCACGGCGAAACTTGCCGCGATTTCGAATTCCCACTGCACAAAACATGTCCCAGAGCAACGCACCTGCTAGCGCTGACGCGAAAGCTGCCGTGCGGCCCAATCAGGCCATCATGCGCTGCCAGGCAGGAGCATTTCGACCGAACCCTCTACAAGGGGGTAGAAGATGCCCTGCCAGCGCAGCATGGATGGTGCCATGAACCCTCATCTGCAGGTTCATGTCAGAATAGCTAGGCAGGGATGAATGGATTAGAATCAAGTTGGGTACAAATATGAAACCCTAAAGGGGCTATACCCCATATTGGCTACCCCACTACAGCCTAGACATATATGTTTCATATATAATTTGACACACCTCCATAGGCAAAGTGGGGGAGAACAAGGGGTCACAAGACCAGTCAAGCAAAGCAAAGCAAGCTCAGGGTGGATCACAACATCACCACACACACTGAGCACAAGCAAAGGGCCACAAGGCCAGTCCACATGCAGAGGTATGTATGCAACAGGAACAGCGCAGTGATCACCACCTCGCAAGAGTAAACATGCAGGTATATATATACAGATCACAGTACAAGCAAAGCCTACAGCAAGTGTGGAAACGTAGGTACAAGGCCTAACAAGGTACAGAAGCGCTGATGATCACCAGACGGAAGTGCCTTGGTGAATATATCAGCGGTGTTGGCCCGCGTGGCCACGTAAGCAAGACGAAGCTGACCTTGCTGCTGCAACTCTCGAGCCAGGAAGTAACGCAGAGCGATGTGCTTCGTTCTGTGCTCCAGTCTGTGCTCCTCACATAAGGCAATGGCCACCTTGTTGTCAACGTACAGAACTGGAGGAGAACGAGGCCGCTCTCCCAAGTCAGTCAGCAGGTAGGTGAGCCAGCGTAACTCCTGTGCAGCCATGGCTGTGGCGTAGATCTCAGCCTCACAACTGGAGCTGAGAACAAAAGACGAGCGTGTAGATCGCCAACAAACAGAGCCAGAGCCAAGACTGAAGGTGTAACCCTGTGACGACCGCTGCGTAGTCTGGTCGTCAACCCAAGACGCGTCAGAGTGTCCAGTGAGGACAACATCACCCCGTCCTCCAAGCACGAGCCCCATGCCCGATGTACTGCACAAGTAGTGCAGTACCCTCTTTGCAGCATCCATGTGCACCTTTCGGTGCCTACCAGGAGCCACGTAGCGAGCCAGAAGGCCAAGAGGGTACGCAAGGTCAGGTCGAGTGCAGGTCATCAGGTACATGAGGCAGCCCACTAGCTCTGGATAAGGACCACTCGGCTCTACGGACTCGTCCGAAGGTGGAGCTGAGAGCGAGTGACCTATAGCCAGAGGAGTGGACTGTGGGGAGGACCAGGTGAAGCCGAAGCGCTGAAGGACCTGCTGCACCATGTGTGACTGAGTCAGTGTGATGGTGCGGCGTGCTCTGTCCCGGGTGATCTGCAAGCCAAGGTAGCTGCGCAGCCCACCCAGGTCTGTGCACGTGTGTCTCTTCTGCAGCTCCGACTTCACCAGGGCGAGAGCCTCAGTGTCAGCAGTAGCAAAGACCAAGTCGTCGACGTACACGAGGATGTAGAACGGCGGCAGCGAAGTGTCGGTGCGCAGAAACAGCGACGGGTCAGCAGTCGAAGGAGCAAACCCAAGAGCCGCAAGTGTTGTCCTCAGTGTGTCGTGCCACTCACGAGGCGCCTGGCGGAGACCGTAGACTGGCCGGCGGAGGCTCCATTGGGTACCAGGAGGGAACGACCCAGTGAAGCCAGGTGGGCGGCGCAGCCAGATCTCCTCGTGCAGGCTGCCCTGTAAGAAGGCTGTGCTGAAGTCAAGAGAGTGAAGCTCGTAGTCACGCTGAGCGGCAACGTGCAGCAGCACCCGAAGAGTGGTCATCTTCGGGGTGGGGGAGAAGGTCTGGAAGAAGTCAACTCCCTCTCGCTGACTGAAGCCTCGAGCAACGTAGCGAGCCTTGAAGACAGGCGGAGAACCCGGCGGCCGCTTCACCCGGGGGGGGGGGAACCTCATCGACGTAAGTGCCTGTGGACTTCCAGGATGCCATCTCTGCATCCATGGCTGCCTGCCACTGAGAGGAGTACTCACCCGCGATCGCCTCAGCGTAAGAGCGCGGGGTCGGGATGTCTGGTGCATCCGGGTCTCCCTCAGGGGCAAGCAGCATGGCCACGAGATGAGGCGCAGCGGCTGCAAGACA